AATTCAGTCAGTCAGTCAATAAACATTTATTAAGCCCCATACTTTATGCCAAACACTGTGCTAGATGCTGGGATACAAAGAAAGGCAAAAGACAGTCCCTGAATGCCAAACAGAAGATTTTGTATTTGATCCCAGAGGTGAGAGGAAGCCACTGGAATTTATTGAGTAGGGAAGTGACATAGACACACTTCATACTTCCTCAGTACGCCCTTCCCCTTAGGCCCCTTTCTCTCTGTGATTGGAAAGGGTGGAGGGTTGACATCAGAGAACTCCTCCTAGATCCTCTACTTGAGGGGGCCCAGGACAGAAACCTCATCATTTCCCATCTGACTGCAAGATTTCATCATGCCTGTATACCTGATGCCTATTCCCTCCTCCCACCTCCACCCTCTTCCCCCCTTGTTTTTGCTTTTCAGTTTCTTTTTATGTGTTGTCATTTACCATTGGATTATGAGCTCCTTGAGGGTAGGAACTGTCTTTTGCCTTTCTTTGTATCCCTAGCACTTAGCACAATGCCTGGCATATAGTAGGTACTTCATAAATATTTACGTACTGACTATGTTTTAGAAAAATTACTTTGGCAACTGAGTGGAGGATGGACTAGGATGGGGAGAGATTTGCAGTAGGCAGACCAATCAGCATGAATTCAGTTCTGGATATGTTGATAAGATGTTTACAGGACATCCAGGGTGAGATATCTAATAGTTGTAGATATGACACTTGAGGTCAACAGAGAAATTAGGGCTCAATAAGTAGATTTGAGAATCATCAGTAGTTGATGATCAGGGATGATAATTGAATCCATAAGAGCTGATGAGATCACCAAGTGAGGTAGTATAGAGGGAGAAGAGAAGAGAGCCAAGGACAGAGCCCTGTGGGATACCCACCATTAGTAGTCATGACCTAAATGAAGAGCTAGGAAGAGAGCAGTCAAGTAGGAGGAGAACTAGGAGATACTACTTCCCCAATAATCAAGGAGAAGAGGGTGGTCAATAGTGTCAAAGGCTGCAGAGAGATCAAGAAGGATGAGAACTGAGAAAAGATCATTGGATTTGGAAATTAAGAGATTATCGGTAACTTTGGAGAGAGCAGTTTGGGTCAAATGATGAGATTAGAAGCTAGACTGTGAGTTAGGAAGAGAGTGAGAGGAGAGGAAGTGGAGACACCTACTGTAGATGACCTTCTAGAGTTTAGCCACAAAAGGCAGGAGAGAAATGGGATAATAATCAGTGAAGATGGCAGGGCACAGATGGAAGGATTGGCCTTGGCAAGAAGTGTCATTTCACTATGTAAGACAAACAAGGGTGAAGGAGGAGATAGTAGCAGAAGACACCTAGGTGATATGAGATAAGGAAGAGGGGAGAAAAGGGAGCTCTTGGTGAATGACCTCAATTTTTTTCTTGAGGCAAGGCTCTCAGGTGAGAGGATGAGAGGAAGGTGAACCATGGGAGGTTTGAGGAGGGATGAAAAGGTTTGAAAGAGCTGCTCTGGGGAGTGGGATAGTTGAGTTGATAAGGGAAGTATAATAGGAATGCCTAGAAGTCATGAAGGCCCAGTGTAATTACAAATTAACATAAATTTGTAGTGGACCCAATCAGGACTGTTGCATGATTTTCTCCACCTCTGTTAGGCAGCACACGTGTAGGAGCAAAGACAATACATGGTGCGAGTAAGCCAAGGCTGGAGCCTGGCCAGGCACAACTGGTGATATAAGGTGATAAGCATTCATGAGAAGGGGACAGTATAGAGTTAAAATGCTACACCAGGGGTTCAAGATAGGGAAGGGAGGAGAGCATGGTTAGTGAAAGGGTGATGCCTTGAACACAGAAGTGGTACATTTATGAGTGATGGTAAGATCAAGGGTTTAACTCTGTATGTGGCTGAAGTGGGTAGAGCAGAAAGTAATGGGAAATAAGTTGAAGAACTGGGCAGTTAGGATGATTGAGGGAGTATAACTGAGTATGTAGAAGACTCCTAGTATGCGGAGTTGGGGAGGAGAGAAAGATTATGAGTCAGGCACTGAATTCATGAAGTCTAAAAGGGAGCATTCCTGGAAGTCTGTAGACAACTACTATCAGGGTTTTGATTGGGTGGTAGATGTGGATTGCACGAACCTCAAAGGAGTAGAAGTTACTGAGTAATGGAGAGAACCTGGAAATTGCAATGGGGAGCAAGATGTATTCCAAGAGTGACCAGAGAGACAGGGTGAATGAATTCGAGTGCAGCCAGTGCTGGAAAGGGTGGCCAAATCATCTTTCTTTGTTTCTATCATATTGTTGTCTTTTTATAAATTATTTTCCTGGTTCTATTTGTTTCACTCAATGTCAAATCATAGAAGTCTTCCCAGGTTTCTCTGAAACCATTCCATTCATCATTTCTTATAGCAAAATACTATTCCATAAAATTTACATACCATACCTTGTTCAGCCATTTCCCAGTTTATGGGCACCCCCTCAGATCCTCATACTTTGCTACCTATAGCTATAAATATTTTCATAATACTTAGGGTTTGTTTTGTTTAGGATTGATCCCTCCCTTGATCTACCCCCCCCAAAAAAAATACCTCTTTTCCCTTCTGTCCTCTTTCCTTCCTATTTCCTTGTCGAATGAAATGTGTACTTGTATTCATGTATGTGTGTGTGTGTGTGTTCCCTCCTTTGACCAGTTCAGATGATAATGAGGTTCAAGTGTCAGTTGTACCCCCTCACCTCTTTCTCCTCTTAGATATCTACTTGTACACCCTGGTTATCTGAAATAATTTCCCCCTGCCAGTGTATCCTTCTTCCCCTCTCTTCTCATTCTTCTTTAAAAAAAGCATCTTAAAGATCTTCAAGATATAACAAAACCATTGCCAGGCCTTCTGTCTAATTAGACTTTCTCTCTGACCCCTGATGATGACAGAGTTGCTAGCGGATGCATGTATTACCCCTCCCCCCCATATTCAAATGTAAGCCATTTATCCTTGTTTAGCTCTTTATCTTTGTTAATTCATGTTTACCCTTTTATGTTTCTCTTAACTTCTGTGTTTGAATTTCAAAGTTTCTATATAGCTCTGATCTTTTAATCAGGAAGTTTTGGAAGTCCTCTTGTTCATTAAAGATCTATTATTTTTCACCTGTAGGACTATATGCGGTTTTGCTGAGTAATTACTGCCTTCTGAAATATGGTATTTCACTCTCTGTGCTTCTTGTTAGTAGTGGTTGCTAAATTGTGTATGATCTTGATTGTAGCTCGTTGGTACTTGAATTCTTTCTTTCTGTCTGCTTGTACCATTTTTTCTTTGATCTGGAAGCTCTGGATTTTGGCTGTGATATTCTTGGGATATTCCTTTTGAAGGTTCTTTCAGGAGGTGACTGGTGGATTCCTTCTATTTCCTTTTTACCCTATGGCTCTAAGAGATTGGGGAAGTTTTCCTGAAATAGGTTGTCTAGGCTCTTGTTTTTGGTCATGTTTTTCAGGTAGTTTGATGATTCTTAAATTTTTTCTTCTCTGTTTTCTAAGGCACATGCTTTTGCTATGAGATACCTTACATTTTTTTCTACTTTTTCAGTCTTATGACTTTGTTTTAATATCTCTTGTTGTTTATGGAGATGTTGATTTCTATTTGGTCTATTCTAATTTTCAGGGAATCTGTTTCTTGGGCAAGGTTTTGTGCCAAACTTTCTTCCATAGCTCTTGTTCTTTTCTGATCTTTCCTCTAGCACTCTCATTGAGAATACTTTTCACAGACAAAAACATTTTTAACTCTTTAAACTCTTGCTTTAGTTTCTCTAATAAAGGTGTTATTTCTAAAATATGTAGGGGACTGAGTCAAATTTTCAAGAAAAAGAGCCATTCTCCAACTGATAAATGGTCAAAGGATATGAATGAATTGGCAATTTTTAGGGGAAGAAGGCCAAGCTATCAATAGACATATGGAAAAAAATTCTCTAAATCACTAGTAATTAAAGGAATATAAATTAAAACAACTCTGAGGTACTCCCTCATGCCCATCATATTGACTAAGATAATGAAAAAGGAAAATGATAAATTCTAGAAGTGCTGTGGGAAATCAGGTTCACTAATGCATTGTTGTTGGAACTATGAACTAGTCCAAACATTCCTTTAAGCAATCTGGAACTGTGCCCAAAAAGCTATAAAAATGTGTATATCCTTTGACCCAGCAATTCCTCTACCAGGTCTATACCCCAAAGAAATCAAATAAAGAGGGAAAAGACTCACATATTTCTCTGACTTTTGCTATTTAGCAATTGTTAACCTCACCCCTTAATGATGTATATATTGACTTCTATGTAGTAGGAATCACCTTGTCCTTATTTTCCTGATCCCCTTTCTTGATCTTCTTTACTTCATTTATTTATTTATTTATTTATTTTTATTTTTTTAGTGAGGCAATTGGGGTTAAATGACTTGCCTAGAGTCACACAGCTAGTAAGTGTTATGTGTCTGAGGTCGGATTTGAACTCAGGTCCTCCTGAAACCAGGGCCGGTGCTCTATCCACTGTACCACCTAGCTGTCCTGATCTTCTTTACTTCATTGTTAAAGTCAACATTTATTGCTTTTTTGTTCCTGCTTCCTTTGCCTTAGACCACTTCGCAGAAATCTCCCCATATTTCTTTGGATAGTTCACATTTGTAATTTCTTACAGTGTAATAGTGTTTCCTTACATTTGTATATGGTAATTTGTATGATCATTCCCCATTCCAGGGATATTTATTCCATTTCCAGTTTTTTGCTCTTACAAATAATCATCAGATTTTTTTTTTTTGTACAAATGATTCTTTTCTTTTTTGGTCAAACTCCTTGGTGCTTAATTTTAAAACTGCAACCACTGGAGTCAAATTTCTTTAATGTTTTATATTATTCCATATAATAACATTTTTGAAACTTAGAAGATTTGCCTTTGGAAGGCTACCTTATGCCTTTTCCATTGCCTGCAATGAAAGGTCAGCTATAGTTTTCACCCCAAAATTTGTTCTGAAAAGTGCTCATAACTTACTTGTTCCCTCGTTCACTTTGTGGCTTCTCTCTCTCATCTTCCAAGGGAAGTCCAGCAACTTTCCGATGTATTAAGACAGATGACTTTTGCCTGACTGGCTCCATTTCTGGAACAAAGAAGAGACAGATGAGATGCCATCATGAAAGTATTCATGTGGTAGAGTAGAAAGAGCACTGAGATCATTAACTCTACCTTCTCAAAAGACCTGAAGTAAATCCCTTTGCCTCTCTGAGCCTCAGTTTTCTCCTTTGTAAAATGGGTGTTGTAATACTCGCGCTTTGCTTTGTTAACCTTAACATGTTTTTGGAAAAGTGAGTTTTGATGGTGGTGCTGATGATTTGAGTACAATTCCCACTGATCATGAACTTACTCAGTGTGACTTCAGAAAAATCTCTTTGATTCTCTGAACCTCGGTTTCCTCATTTGTAAAATGAGGGGGTTGGAAGAGAGCATTAAGATCTTTTCCAGGCCCCAACCTCTCCTTCTGCTGACAGTAGAGCCTTGGTGGAGGGGAATGCTTGCTCTCAGAGCGGCCCTTGACACAGGAGGCCCTCATTGGCTAAGCAACAACTTCTTCATGTCATCTGGTGGGCCAGGCATGTAGCTCTGGTCCTGGGCTCCAACCAAGGGAAATTTTTAAAGGAACACAATTACAAGGTGGTCGCTATCATACTGCTGTTTGATCAGTGGGATGAAGCAATGAAGGGGATGAAAGAAGATGTGCTGAACAATAATACTGTGCTTCCTGGCCACATCTACCATATTGCCTCAGTCATCCAGACAGTAGGTACCAGGTGTTCCTTCAGTATGAAAGCTTTAAGACCCCAACCATGAATTCTGCTGTATCCTGGCACTGTGGATGTGCACTCATCAGCTGCTTCACAATCAATGGCAAAATCTTGGTGCCCCTGAAGACTATATTTATGGAAAGTACACAGACTGGAAGAGTTGCCTTATGAAGCAGATGGTGGGAACCAGGACCTTCCTGATGGATTTTCACAACAAGATGTCAGAAAGCATTAAATACCCCTTCCATCAGGGTATGTGAGTAGAGGCAGTGGACAAGCCACACGTGTCTAGAACATGAATGGCCAGGTTAGACATGGTGGTGGGGAGGGGTGACTGCAGCTGCTCTATGAGGATGATGATGGTGATGACGGATTCTGGTGCCACCTGTGGAGTCTCCTCATCCATCCTGAGGGCTAGTCGCACCATGTTGGCCATAACATCAAGAAACCAGAGAGGCAAGGTAAAATTAGCAGCCACCCAACCTTTCGGAAGATCTAGTGTGACACCCTCTACCACCTCTTCAAGAAGGTGCAAACTGTCTCCATGGAAGGCAGAGGGTTTGAAGAAGAGATGAAGCTGAAAGCCACTGGGACACTGAACCATGGCCACTGTCTACAGGGTTCTCCTGGATGGCTTCTTGATGATTTGCATTGATAGCTCCACCTCTGTGGATGGCTCAGACTGCTTCTGCTACCACACCTCATCACTTGCCATCTTAACAGCCACCTTCTGCCACAAGAACTCTGTTGACCTTACCTCCACTTCTGAAAAGGTATGATGCCTCATACCTCCAAATGAGCAGAAAGAACTTGAGTTTCTCTTTCACATGGGTGCCCTTTATATATTAGAAGACCATTCACTAGGCCCCCAGTTATCTTTGTGTCCAAATGTGATCAGACCAATGCAGAATCCTCTGGATGCTATGCTTTCGAAATCTTTAACTAACTTAACTCAAACCTCCTGGCCTTTCCTCATGAACTGCTACTGAGCAGTTCTGCACATGTGAAGGAGATTTTCTGAACCTAAATTCAATACTTCACATTTGTCCCTATTTGATTTGATTTTATTAATGGCCTACTGGGATCTGGATCTCTTTGGATTCTGGCACTGTCATCCAACATGGTAACAAACCCTCTCAGCTTCATAAACTCAGTTTTATTAAAATCCCTAAACTTTAAAATGGATTTAAATAAAAAAAAAAGATCCTTTCCAGTGCCAGCTACTCTGGGCAAGTCACTTACCTTTTGTCTGCTTCAGTTTCCTCAACTTTAAAACAGGAATAATAATAGCACCGACCTCCCAGGGTTATTGTGAGAATCAAATGAGAATATTTGTAAAGCACAAAGCAGGTGCTTAATAAATGCTTGTGCCCTCCATTTCACCCTATGATGATTATCACAGTGTGTGGAGATTTTTTTCCTTCTTCCACTTTTAGGGGAAATGAGGGAATTATTTCACAGACTTCAGATGCTCGATATCTGAAATAAAAGGACTATCTTAGGCCTCTCGACTAGGAAGGGTACCTGATAACAAGAGGAGCAATTGTCAAGAGAAGAGGAATTTCAAGCCAAACGCCAAACTCCAAGAAAGAGGAGCCAAATCAGGGGGATTCTCTGTCCTTAGGGAGTGTCTCCTTTTTATTAGTCAGCCTCTTTGACTGGGTTCTATTTCTCTCTCTCTCTTTTTTTTTTTTTGGCTAGGCATTTAGGGTTAAGTGACTTGCCCAGAGTCACACAGCTAGTGAGTGTTATATGTCTGAGGTCGAATTTGAACTCAGGTCCTTCTGACTCCAGGGCTGGTGCTCTATCTACCAGCCACCTAGCTATCCCTATTTTTCTCTTTATGACAGAAGTAGTGCAAAGTTTCCTGGACTGGAAGTGGAGAAACCTAGGTTCTTCTACTGTCAGATCTGCCAAAAATTCCATAGGAAATTGGGTACATCTCTTCCTTTTGCTTGGCCTCAGTTTCCCTAAGTTTCAAATTAGACAGGTTGGTCTCTAAGGTCTTTTCCATCTCTGATATCTCTTCTGGCTCTGATATTCTCTGTTCTAAGGGTTCTTCCAGCACTGGGATTTCTGTAACTTGACACACAGCCTTTGCTGGTTTCTTATGGAATTCCTTTCACTATGCTTGCAATACCAGACTTAAACAGTCTTGAGTTAAACAAACATTTTAGAAATGGTCCTCTGGACCATTCAATATTCAATATGTTCAATATTTGCTGAATTGAAATTTCCCTCACTACTCTCATCCTTATCCAACCCTGTCAATTTGTATTTCCAGTCTTAAATATCATATTTTTAAAAACTGGAAAAATTTTGGGGCAGTGTGTCAACATCAAGGGAGAGCAAGATTAAGAAAAGAATGAAAAAAAAAAAGAATCAACACTTCCCATCCCACCCTCCTCCCCTTTACCCTAGAAACTTGAGTCACTTGTAACTATAGTTATGGGGAAGAGCCCCTTACTTGCTTCTTGGATATCATCAACTGTGGGGATTTCATCCAGCTGCTGAAGGAATTTCTCAGTCAAGAGGGTCAAAGAGCTTATAAATTTCCGGGCAGATTTCTTGGCACATTCCTAAGAAAGAGTGTAGAATTGATCAGGCTTGATATAACAGAATAGGAAGGTGCTTACTTCCATGCATCTGAAGACTTATGTCATCGCTGGTGGGTTGTAAGCATTTTATTTATTATTTTTGTCTGGGAGGGAAGAGGAAGAGAGTGAAGACATGAGCTAGATCTATTGAGGGTTAATAAAATGATGTCCTGATTCATGCAGAGGATAATATGGCCAGAAATAATATGGGTCTTCCCCTCCCAGATAGATTTTTTTTTAAATGAGGTAAAGAGGCCACTCTTGGCCTCATTTCTTATTAAACCTTAATCAGTGAATGGGTGTTGCCTCAGTAAAACCAAGACATGTTAAAGACCTTAGCTTGAAAAAGTCAAGGTCTCCCACTGCATCCTGGGCCATCTCCAGTTGTGCTGATCCCTATCTGGCCACTGGACCCAGATGGTTTTTGAGGGGAAAGGGAGGGCTGGTGACTTTGCACAGCCCTCTCTCACTTAAATCCAATTCACTTGCTTATCAAGGCATCACCTCCCTGATGTCAAGCTCCTCTTTGAGAATGAAGGACAAACATGGAAGCTAACTGGAGGAGAGTAGAGTTGATTTCAATGATACGAGGAACTCCCAATAAGGAAACTCCTTCTACCAATGCAGGTACTTATTTCAACGTCAGAATCTCCTGGGGGCACTGTAAGAGAAGTGAAGCAGCTTGCCCCCAGTCATACAGCTAAATCCAGGTGACCAGACTTATGAGGTCAGGGTAAAGAGGAACTGAAGGACATGAAGAACATGAAGGAACATGAAGTCCTTTGTTCTGGTCCAGATAGTAGAGAAACAGGAAATCCTTCTCCTTAGGACAAAGAGGACATGCACCCATCCTGAGCCCATATTCTCTACACTCCTTAGATAACTCTTGGGAGTAGAAGCGGCTGCAAGGAGTTTTAGACACTTGTCTAGGGTATACTGATGTAGAGCTGGAGGTTAAGCAGGTATGTGGAAGAGAATTCCCGTGGGACAGTAGGAAGTGACTCTAGGGCCATTTCCAGTTGTGCTGATCCCTACAGGAACTGTGAAAGCAAGAGTCAGGTAAAACAAATAAGTTTATTCAGCACATACTCGTGACCAGGAATAGCTTGGGTAGGGCAATGGACACCGGGTAACTAGCATGGGCCGTCCTCAGATACAGAGTGGTGTCAGAGATTTGGTCTTCTGGGAGGATTTAAATAGATGCCAAACAGGGTCAAGGTGGTCACTTCTTTCCCTGACTTTTAGTCAGGAGGCTTAGTTGTGGCCAGGCCTAATACTAAAATCAGCCCCATTGAGACAGGTGGCTAGAGGGGTTGAAGATAAGGGACCAGGAAGCTTGGGTCCTGATATGCTGATTAGGTAACCCTACCCTAAGGGGATGGAGAAGTATCCACACAGCACCTCTCAGGACACCTCAAGGTAGGTGGACCAAAGGTAGAATACAAGTCACTATATATTAGTGGCTGGATTTGAGCTCAGTCTTCTTGACTTCAAGGCTGGCTCTGGCTACAGTATTCCAACCTGCCTTTCAAAAAAAATTTAGAAACTTGAAATGGTCACACTGAAAATCTTTAAAATCTTAGGGGAAAAAAGACATATATATGAATGTATGTATATATTATATATGTATATGTGTGTATATATATAATATACACATACACACAAATATATATAGACAAATCTACAAACTACAGGCCCAAAGTGGGTTGCTGAGGAAAGTGAGGATGTTTTGGGGGAAGGAGGAATGGACATTTCTAATTATTAAGGCTGCCATTAAGAAGAGCAATCAAGCTGTCATCAAATGATCTAGGAAATACTACCTGGAGGTTCTAGGAATACTTCATGTAATAAACATGACCAAGTCTCATACCTCTAGTTTATTTGAAATGTCTAAAATCCCAGTATCTTGGTCTTTCTGCCTCTGTTCTTCCCTTTGGCAGAGAGAATCCATAATTGTGGAATTATTTGGGTGCCCAAGGTCTGGGTGTAGCTGTTGGTTATTTTCATCCTTCAAACAACGAACAAACAAACAAACAATATATAAATAATATGAGCAGGGCTTGAGGTAGAGAATAGTAAGGAATTGAATGGCATTTCCCTTTTTCCCATCAATCCATGCTTCCCAGTACAAACGCCTTCCCAAATACACACTAAGCCCCTATTAGCCTTGTGATGGAAGAAGGTAGGGGATTAAAGGAAAAGGAATGGTCAGAAAAGAAACAGAAAAAGAATGAGAAGGGGATGTGCATACCATAGGGTCATAATGTGTACCCACTTAGAACTGGAGAGTGGAATTACCACTACCCACCAGTGAATCAATCAACAAAGGAGTTATTAAAAGCACCTATTATATGCCAGCAATTGTGCCCTAGGGATTCTTTTTTAATTAAAAAGTAAAAGCAGTCCCTGTTCTCAAGGGACATGTATTCTACCGGAGGATACAACATTAATAAATTAGAACATAAAAGATAAATACAGAATAGATGGAAGATCACCTTGGGGGGGGGGGGATGGTAATTGCAGCTGGTGGGACCACAAAGGCTTCCTGGAGGATGAAAGCCTTTAGGTGAGTCGTAGAGGAGGGTCAGGGATTCTAAAGGTTAGAGGTTGGGAGGAAGAGCATTCCAAGCACAGAGAGATGAAATGTGCTACCTGAGAGGCAACAACATGTAAACTAATAAAGCTTTATTGTAGGGTGGGTGGAGGGGAATATAATTTAAGAGGACAGGAAGGGTAAGAAGGGGCAGGTTACAAAGAGCTTTTAATGTCAAAGGACTTTACATTTGATCCTGGTGGCAACAGTCACCAAATGAATGCAAACTCATTAAGGACAGGGATTTTTTTTTTTAGGGGAGTGGGGTCCTTTGTATCCCCAGCACTTAGCATAATACCTTAGCATAGAGTAAATGCTTAATAAATATTTGTTGAGTTGAATTTTCCTTTAGGACATATCCCTTATATTTCTCCACCTTTTCAAGTACTAGATATGTTTGAAATACCAAAAGGAAATGAAGGTTCAGTTCTGAGACCAGTTGTCCTTATTGAACTAGTTTCAAATGATGTTGGTGCATTGTAGGTGCTTTAGAAATATTTATTGAATTGAATTTTCTTTTACTACATATCTTTTATATTCCTCCGCTTTTCAAGTACTAGATATATTAGAAATACCAAGCCCCTCATTTTGTAGGTGTGAAAACAGAGGCCCTGAGAGGGTCAGTATCTTCCTTGGGATAACAAAGGTAGTAATTCTAGCTCTTTTTACTATGTCATTTTGCCTTCTTTTGGTTTGGAGTGGTAGCCTTTCCAGGACTTTCATCTGAAAAGTAATCATTACCCAGAACAACTATGGAACGGAAGAATCCTAACTGTGAGGCAGTTAGACTGTTGGAATGAAAGCTCTTGTTCTACTGCAATTTACCCAGGGCCAACAGTTTCTCTTTCTATCCTGTCAACTTGAACATCTCTGTGTTGATTCCTCTGTGTCAATGGAGACAGCTTGGCAATCCCTCCCAGCCTGACTGGTTGACTCATCTGTAGCATGGGTGTGATATCGGTGACCAGCCTTCTAGGTATGTTGTTGATTGGACCTAATAAACCTGATTGCAAAGAACTCTTGGATTATTCAACATAAACAAACAATGGAGGAGCTAAGAATTTCAATGCCTGAGACAAATTTTAAGGCATTATCTGTCTTGCAGCAGAAAGAACGTTGAACGTGGAGTCAGAGATTTAAATCTTGACTCAGCAACTTACTGTGTTATCTTGGGCAACTCACTTAACCCCTCTAGGTCTTGGCTTCCTCATCCGTAAAAAAGAGGAAGTTGGACAAGACCTCTATGGTTTAGCTAACCCCAGATCCTGTGATCCTGTGTCTCTAGGATAGCTGGAAAGTCATTCAGATGGGGAAGGGTGCTCTGTTTTCCTTTTAAGACTGTATCACAGTTAGCCATCCCACCCTAGCTAAGCCTCTGATAAAATTCACAGGTGGCTCAAAAACTGCTTCTACAAAGGTAGGCCAGGAACAGAGTTTTGGTCTGTTCTCCCTAAAAATTCTGAATGAGAGGGGGAAGGACAAAGAAACACAGATGATCCATAGACTTTTTCCTCAGTAAAGAGATGATACCATAGAAGGACAAGTGAGGATAAAACCTTACTCTCTGGGTGGGCTGGGAAGTGGAAACAAAAAAAGCCAATCCTTTTTTTAGGTCAGTGGTTAAAGTAATCAGCCTTGGACAGGCAGAGGAACTCATCCACACCTGGAAGACATAGGGCATAACTTCAGACAACCATCTCTCTGGCTGATGACAGGACATGGAGTCAGCCAGTTGGCAAGAGCACTCGTTATCCAAGGCAGTAATACCATTCTTGGTATTCTCACCTTGGGAACAACCAAGAATATGGTCGGTGGCAGTGAAAGGCCTAATGTTCTCTCCCTTCATTTTCTCCTTTGGATTAAGGGATAGAAGGCCCCATTTAAAATGTAAATCTCTTACCTAGGAGAGGTAACCTTAACCCCTCACTGGGAAATCATTCATTAGTTCCTCTCAAGTTCTGAGGGTTCTTAACCTGCTTTGTGTTATGGCTTCCTTGGGGCCAGCTAAGTGGTAGTCGATAGAGCATTGGGCTTGGGGTCAGGAAGATCTGATTTCAAATCTGGTTTTAGACATTTAACAATAGGTAAGGCCCTAGGCAAGTCACTTAATCTCTATTTGCCTCAGTTTCCTCAAAAATAAAATGAAAATAATAACACCTACCTTGCAGAGTTGCTATGAGGAGCAAAAAATCCTCATAAACATTTGTAAAATGCTTTTCCCATAGTAGGCTCTACGTAAATGCCTATTCCCTTCCCTTTCCCCTTTTGTCAGTGTAGCAAAACCTACAGACTCTTCCCAAAATAAATTTTTAAATGCATAAAATATAATACAAATTAAAACAATTATATTAAAAAACCAGCTATCAAAATTAAAAAAAAAGTTCATGGACCTCAGGTAAAGAATCTCTGACCTAGAGAATAGGCCTTAGGAGAGGTAAGATTTAGGAAAAATACGACAGAAAACCTTGCCAAGGGAAACCTTGCATGAGGTTTAATTAACCTTGCATTGCTAAGGGAAACCTTGCATCAGGATAAGGCTTAGGGAGGGGGAGCATATTCTGGTAGCTCTTTCAAAGGGCTGAAAGTGCTGGAAAGGAAACAGAAGTTGATTGACTAACAGAAGAGAGAGGTGAAAAGAAAATCCATTTGCATGGTTTCCCAATGTAACACAAGTAACAACACAGGAGGCACTGGAGTTTTGGGACTACAGCCTCTAACAAGTTCACTCTTGATCTGGGCATCCAGAAGGCCAGGAAGACAGCTTCGGAGGGGTTTTAATAAGCTTCCTTTAAGTCTTCTCAAAAGTATTGCTAATAATGGGAGCACCAACACCTACAGTATTCCCTAATCACCCTTCTCGAAGGATGTCTCAATGGAGTCAGTTGAGACAGACTTAGCATTCCAGCTGTACACTCCCTTAAATCCCCTCAAGCCTCAATGGTGGCCATTTGAGGCAGGAACATGCATTCCTCTATGCATTACCTAAAATCCCAAAATGGGTTTCCCACTTACTGACCAGTGTCCACTTGATTTATAGGACAACAGACAAAGAAGGCAAATTGCCAACAGTGGCCTCACAAGTTTAACTTTAGCAATATTGTCATGACCTAGCACAGTGCAGGCATACATTATGTCATTCCTATATTTCACTGCGACTGCGCAGTTGAAGTTGTTTTCAACTGTAATTCATGGGAAATATTATCTATTTTGGCCGTGGATCCTGGGACTTATTATATAAAAAGGAATAACAAAATCCACCTTACTGACCCCCAGTCTTGCCCAGGCCCATTCTTGTGCAGCCACTGAGGCTGGAAGCTGACTGCTTGTTCTCCTCCTTGCCTCAGGCTCTCTCCATTTTTGCTCTTCTAGGTACAAAATGCTCAAGAGCAGTCCAGTTTCAGCACAAAAGGTCACACTCAGTATACCATTCCCAAAGAATGGGTGAGGAGGGCCGAAGGAGCAAACAAAAGCACCAACCTCGTTCTGATGAAATCTGCCCCTTCTTCCCAAAGACCCCCTGCTGATTTTTATTGCCTCTTGTGGTAAAACCTTCCACAATCCAAAGGCCCTACTCTGGTTATCAGTTAACTGCCCTCTAATCTCTTTACCATTATCATTTCTCTCCTGTTGGCCACGTTTGGTCACTGGTTTCAGGTCATGGTAAGGTTGATATTTATTTAAAAAAAAACGCCCTTGAGGGCATCACTCTTGTGCTTTTGGAATGAGAGTATAATATATATTTGCATTTCTTAATGAGTTGTTCCTAGAAGAGTCTTGCTAATGGATGAGGACCTGCCAGGTAGAAGGTCAGAGGATCTTAGATTTAGAGAAAGGGAGCTTAAAGGTGATCAAGTCCAAATTCCTAATTTTACCTATGAGGAAACTGAGGCTCAGAGAGCTAAATGACTTGCCCAGGGGTACAGACAGCGTGTCTTCTTGCCTCCATGTCCAGTGCTCTGTCCACTACTCCATGATATCTCTCTACAAAGAGATGCTTTCTCTAGACCAATAAGCATTTATGAAGCCCCTGCTATGTACCAGGCACTGTGCTAAATTCTGAGGATAAAAAGGGCAAAAGAACTCTCAAGGAGCTCATAGTCTAATGGTCATCATACCTAGAACATTCTTGAGAAAAGAAAACATGGAAAGTTCAAGGAAAGCCTATGTTTTCTGGAGGGAAAAAAAAAAGCGTGTTACAAACTTGTGTTATGTTACAAACACCTTAGTTTCCAGGGGCAAAAAGATGGACTGTTTAACAAGTGCAATCAATGCCTGGGCCCATGTCTAGAAGGACTCGTGGAAATGCTCGCAACCTGGACTACTAGAAGTCTCTGAGGTACCCACCCTCATTTTGATCCACTGATCGAGCTGTTCTTTGAAGTGTTCCTGGATCTCGGCCTGGCTGGACTGAAGGCTTTCCCATTGTTGCTGGAAAAAGCTTTCCATGATGAGATGAGACACGTGAGGCAGCTGCAACTCAAGCTCCATCAATTGTTCCCGGAGCTCTGTCAGAATGGGTGGAGACAGAACCGTTTACAGCTTCATCAGACGGCTGAAGAGCTCAGACACCCAGAGCCACTCTCAACAAATATCTTAAACATTATACAAAGCAAATCCTTCCTTCAGAACAGTCTGACATGTACCACTAACACAAAGATACTATAATTAGCTACATAGATTCTGGATTTCAGGTTAAATGTCAAAGGTCACTGAATATAAGAATTCTTCCCACTAATTAGTAGGAACTTTCCTATCACAGATTGTTGTAACAGTAGCTAATGGCTACTATATAAACTGACAGTTTAGTTTTTCAAGAAGTGCTGTGTTGTTTTTTCTGTGCTTTTAATAGCACATTCTCAAGATTTCCATTTTATAAGATACTACATAATTTTCCATAGGAAATACATTTCTGACCTAATCCAAAGCTGAGTTTTTCCTTAAGGACACAATCTCTGAAGGCCCTATAGTACAAATTCCGGATTGTCCGTGTTAAACTGATCTCTATGAGTTATTTTCAATATCTATATAGTGGGGAAGAGTCAGTTCCCCTCAAATTCCCTTCCTTGCCCCTCCCCTCACAAAAGAATCACAGAAAGCAAGAGGAGCTAATGTGTCTATGCCCTGTTATCACTTTACAAAATATGAAAAAGCTTCCTTGACACATTTGGTAAGTTATCTGCCCGCTGCCTGGCTGAAGATGGGCCACATGCCTGGTTGCCTTTAAAAGAGTTAAGGCTAGAAGCAGCTTGGCAGCTTGTGGTGTGTTGGAGGGTAGCATGGGAAGGGGAGGAGGATTCTCTTTCCCACTCCTCTCTGTCAGCAATGCTATCTTGCCGTGGAGCAAGCAAAGTAAGAGACATCACACCCAGAGAGAGACAGATGCAGAATTGGGGTTATAAAGAAGCCTCAGGGAAAGTGCCCTCTGGCAGCTGAGAAGACAGCTGTCCATGGATTTAAGAGAGAACTAGCTTTGAGGTGAGGAGAGGAGAGGGTCAACGGCCTCAGCTGAGTGACCCAACAAGTAGACACTACGTCCCGGTGGGAAGAGCATGGGACACCCCAAGGAGATAAAACACATGGGGGCCCAGCAGTAACAGAGGCATGGGTTGACTTGGTAATGTGTATTAGGTGTGTGTGTGTCTCACTCCCAACATACTCTAAATTTGTGCCCACTCTTTCTACTAATGTTATGTATATCCTGCCCCCACCCAGTTTTATGGATGGGGGTGTTGTATAGATGTCCTTACTATGTGTATGACTTTGCATTGAGCTATTTGTGTTTACTGGCTATTAAAGACAAGCCTGCAGAGTGGGAGCTCATGAACTATAGATTTACAAGTGCAGACTCATCTCAAGATCTCTTAAACCTGAGGTGGAAGTCATCCCTCCAGGTGACCCACTCTGGGAGAGTAAGTTGAAGCAGCCTCAGAGGGCACTCCACCTAGTTTTAACTCTTGGAAGGCAGGGACCATATACAGTTATCTATTCCACATAGTGACTTTCCCCTTTGTGGTTTTGATATATCACGGGTCAGCATAAGAAATTAAATGGGAATTTTTGGGGAGTTTTGTGGGAGCCACAGATGTGAAGGCCAGCAGACAACACAGAAAAAGTTTAGAAACTCATAAACATATAAAATATATGTATAGTATTGCTTGATATCAACATATTTTACCTTTTAATACCATAATAATTCAGACTTCTCTGACTCAAAGGGAGGGCCAAAAATTTTTACATGGATTTTCCAGATCCTGGGGGCACCATGCCCTTAATCCCCCCACCCCCATGATGTGATTGGGACAACTTTATTGTCTATCTTTGTATCTTCCCCCCAAGGCTGAATATGGAGCATTATATATAATTGGAGCTTAATAGGTATTCACTGAGAGACTGAAGGAATTTTATAGAAGCAGATGACTCAACAGCTTTCCAAGTACCTATGAGACAAGCATTATGGTATTCCTCTGCCTGGTTCTCATAGTCTATGAGTTTCTTCCCAAATACCTCAGCACATTGGTCAAAAGTATCCTGAATGTAATCAGGCCTGGTAACAGCATGTTTCTCTTTACGGTAAAAATCCTACAGAAAATTAAGATAAAAATATTCTCAATAATAATAAATGTAAAAATATAAAAAATAAAAAAAATTCTCAATGGTCAGATTTGTCTAAGAAGCTTCATGGGTTAAGAAGTTGGTAGCGAGTTAATTACTCAAAGATAGGGCCCACATTTTGTTCATCTTTGTGAATAATCCCAGAATAAAACAAGCATGATAAAACAATTCACCTTTGGTACTCTAAGACTGCAAAGCATTTGATCTACAAAGACCACCTAAGGTACAGGTAGTGCAAGTATTATTAGATCCATTTTAATATGAGCTAAACTCCTCAGAAAGGCTATGTACAATGGATGCCTCCACTTTCTCTCCTCTCACTCTATTCTTAACCCCTCCTTACAATCTGACTTCCAACCTTATCATTCCACTGAAACTGCTAACTCCAAAGTCACTAGTGATCTCTTAGTTGCCAGATCCTGGTGCCTTTTCTTCATCTTCACTCTCCTTGACCTCTCTGCAGCCTTTGACAACTGTTGATTGCTCTCTCCTCCTCGATACTCTTTTCTCTCCAGGCCAGGGGGATTCAGTCAAAGGGCTACACTTGAGGACCTAGAGGGCCATGTGTGACCTCGAGGCAGATCTAGGCTTTCAGGACACCACTCTTTCCTATTTGTCCTCCTTGCCCAGAGTCAGATAATTAGTAAGTATCTGAAGCCACATTTGAACTCAGGTCTTCCTGACTCCAGGGCCAGTGCTCAATCCATTGCACCATCTAGCTGCCCATATAACATATGTAAACAAAAGTTCTTTGTGAGTCTTCAATTGTTTTCTTTTTTCTTGCTTTTTTGCTGAGGCAATCAGAGGTAAGTGACTTGTCCAGGGTCACACAGCTAGTAAGTGTCAAATGTCTGAGGCTGGATTTGAACTCAGGTCCTCTTGACTCCAAAGCTGGAGGTCTATTCACTGCACCACCTAGCTGTCCCTGAATCCTCAATAATTTTCAAGAGTGTAAAGGGGTCCTGAGACCAAAATATTTGAGAATAGTCAGAAAGAGAAATGTTAATTAAAGGAATACTTCTTGTATCAACTTCCTACAGAGTAAAGGACAATAGAATTAATTATAATTCAGTGCAAGAATTTCTACCAGGAGTTTAAGGGAATTTTTTTGTTTGTTTTAAAAATATCATGTATTGGAAACACACCTTATTAAGAATCAGGAGAGACGGGCAGCTAGGTGGCACAGTGGATAGAGCACTGACCCTGGAGTCAGGAGGACCTGAGTTAAAATCTGACCTCAGACACTTGATACTTACTAGCTGTGTGACCCTGGGCAAGTCACTTAAACCCATTGACTAGTCAAAAAAAAGAAGTATCAGGAGACTTAGGCTCTAGTCTTGTCCCCCCCACCAATGCACCTTCACTACTATAGCTTCTCCAAGTCTGTCAAATAAGGAGGCTACAATGGATGCTGTGTAAGGTCTTTTTGAGTTCTGATGATCTCTAACCTTAAGTTCCTTTCAGTTCCTATATTCTATATTCTAAGTTGCTTTTTAGCTCTGACAGCTTCTGCTTCTCTGAAATTCTATGGTGGAACCCTGTTGGAACTTGGCCTGTATCTTTCTTGCACACGAAGCACTCAGTTAATCAAATCAAGGGCACGCCGGGCAGAGTGAAGACACAGTAAAATCCAAGGTGTGATAGGAGGGAGAATTCCTTACCTCTGCCACTGAAAGCAAAGTGTCATTGCCTTCCCAGAGAAGTAAGTGGATGATGCCTTTAAAATGACTGAAACCAAACAGAAGGAAGACTGCTGAAAAGACTTGCATTATACATATTGGTACTTATCCCACAAATTAAATCAAACCAAACTGACCACTTTTAAGTTCTTGATTGCCACAACCCCAGTAATGGTAAAATCAATGGGACTGAATGGTACGGAAAGGAAAGCTGCCTTACTCAGAACGTTCCGGCTTCTCCCCAAACACCTGATACTTCTTGTCTTGTCGGTTTGGCCGGGAATATGGTAGGCCGCTGAAAAGATACAGACACTTCATTGTATTCAGAAAAGTCCCATTGTTGGGGGAAAAAAAAACCAAACAAACCAATAACTGACTTTCTCTGGGGTAAGAATACTTTTCTCTTTGATATATCAGCTAGGGAACTATGAAGCTATTTTCTGTTTGCATAATGATGGCTTACAACCAAATTTAGTACTGAAAATTCTAAATACCTCCTGTAGTTTCTAATTTATTTAAATTTTCATCCCTGGTCCATTTTGAAAAGGGCTTGCATGTGGAATCAGTCCAAGATGAAACATAAAGTTGGAAAGAACAACACTTGATACTTCTAGGCTTTGGAATTAATAAGCATGATGGCAATATGTGGACAATGAATTTGGAAGTAAGCTTTCAGGCAGCTGAGGCCAAAATAATGCAGGAGGTTAGGGGGCAGGGGGAATATGATGGGTTTCATCTGATATAAGAAAGCAGATGTTTTTAATCTGTAGAGATTTTTTTTTCTGGAAATAATGCAAGCAAGACTTTATGCAGTGGGTTTCTGCATGTTTGCACAAAAGAAAGAGAAATGCTAATTAAAGGAACACTTCTTGTATCAATTTTCTACAGAGTAAAGGACAATAGAATTAATTACAATTCAGTGCAAGAATTTCTACCAGGAGTTTAAGGGGATTTTTTTGTTCATTTTAAAAATACCACGTATTGGAATCACAGATCCAAATGAGTGTATTGACTACAGCAATACATGTTAAAAAATGAAGATAAAGCATTCAGTAACGAAAATAAATATGACCCTTCCTTTTGTGTCAGGCAGCAGTTTTCATGAGAGGGGCTTGTTAGCTCAGTTGTTCAAAATGTGTTGCTAATGATGCCAGGATTGTGTAGGTCTAATATATCTAAACACTTCATACACTCATATATACATATATTTACATATATACATATATTTACATATATACACATTTGTGTATATACACATATATTTACATATACATATATGTGTATATACATATATACATATATTTATTTATTTAAAACATTTTTTTTTTAATTTGAGGGACAGCTAGGTGGTGCAGTGGATAGAACACTGACCCTGGAGTCAGGAGGAACCAGAGTTCAAATCCAGCCTCAGACATATAACACTTACTAGCCATATGACTCAGGGCAAGTCACTTAACCTCAATTGCCTCATGAAAAAATAAATTGAATTCCAGATTCTCTCCCTCCATCCCATCTCTCTTCTATCCACACTGAGAAAGCAACCAATATATCAACTCTACATGTGAAATCATATAAAACATATTTACATATTAGCCATTTTGCAAAAAAAGGCAAAAAATAAATAAAGTGAGAAAATCATACTTCAATTTGCACTCAGAGTTCATCAGTTCCTCTTTGGAGGTGGATAGCACTTTTTCATCATGAATTCTTTGGAATTATCTTGGCTCACTGTATTGCTGAAAAGAACTAAGTCATTCACAATTGATCATCTTACAATATTGCCGTCATTGTATACAATGTTCTCCTGGTTCTGTTCATTTCATTTTGCATCAGTTCATATAAGTCTTCCTAAGTTTTTCTGCTCATCATTTCTTAGAGCACAATAGTATTCCATCACAATCATATACAACAACTTGTTCAGCCATTCCCCAATTGATGAATATCTTCTCAATTCTAATTCTTGGCCCCCATAAAAAGACTGCTACAAATATTTTTGCACATATGCATTGTTTTGCTTTTTCTTTTGCTGGATCAAAAGGTATGAACAGTTTCATAGCCCTTTGGGCATAGTTCTAAATTGCTCTCCAGAATGGTTGGATCAGTTCACAGCTCCAGCAGCAGTGCATTAGTGTCCTAGACTAACTGTCCTCTTTAGACAAAGACAGCACAATACAACTACCATCAGTGAGACATGCCCTTAATTTGGCCAAGGTGACCACATACTATCAACCAGTCCCCGCTGTGACCAAGAGTATTCATTTGTCTGCTATCTAAGTGTAGGGGTACAACTGAAGTAAAAGAAGTATGTGGGGCATGCAGGCCAGGAGCCAGCTGAATTCTCCTGACATTCCACATAATGCCTCATACAAACTTTGGAGCAGCAGAGCCAACAAAAGGTCAGAAGGAGATTTTTTTTTTCCAGCCTAAGACAACTTAGTAGTTGCAGGAAATGTCTGCAAAACCAGGTGGGACACAGGCACGAACTTGGCAGGAGCATCAGTGGTGGGCCTTGGAGGCAGCTGCAAAAGCAGCAGAAGTAGCTTCAGGAGTTCTCAGCCCAGACACATAACAGAGTCAGACAACTGGCCAGAAAGAGATTACAGGGGATCCTTTGTTGGCACTGGGTGCAGCTACCACTGATTGGCAACTCTATTGCCCCTAGGTAGTTCTGGGTCACCATTCCAGGAAGAGAGAAGCACTTGTGATTGGGCACAAGGGAGCAGAGACCTTGGTCACATTTCCAGGGCCAAGAGCAGCACTTGTAGCTGCAGGGGACCAGGACCTCTTCCTAGGTAAAGACTAGAGAGCAAACCAAGAAAACAATTACCACACGGCCCCCAGGATAATGCCACCTTGGAAGCGCTGAAAACTTGTAGACCCCCACAACTAGCTCTGAAAACAGCAAAACAAAAAAGCCTGCGGCTTGGCACCATGCCTCCCCATGCCCAGGTGAGCAGAGTCCAATTTTAGATAAAGTTCAGTGTCAATAAATAGGCTGGGACAATGAGTAAAAAACAAAAAACAACCAAATAAAAAACAACCAAACAAACAATAAAAAAACAAAATACAAAAGATCTTGACCATAAAAAGCTACTATAAAAAAAAAAAAAAAAGCTAACAGTGACAGGGAAGACAAAGACATAAACTTATAAGATGACAACAATGTGAAAACAACTAAAAGCAAAGCCTCCAAGAAATAATTTAAAAGTTATTAGACTACTTGAAAGTCATAATAAAAAAAGGAGCCTAGACATCATATTTCAAGAGATTATCAAGGAAAATTTCTCCGATATCTTAAATTAGGAGAATGAAATAGAAATTGAAAGAATCCACCAATCATTTCCTGATTGAGATCCAAAAATGAAAACTCCCTGGAATATTTTAGCCAAATTCCAGACCTCCCAGGTTAAGGAGAAAATATTGCAAGCAGCCAGAAAACAAACAAACAAACAAAAAATATGATTCAAATATCATGGAGCCACAGTCAGGACTGTACAAGATTTAGCAGCTTCTATGTTAAAAGAGAGGAGGGTTTGGGGGCAGAGCCAAGATGACTGAGGGAAAGCAGTGACTTGCTTGAGCTCTCCCCCAAACCCTTCCAAATACCTATAAAAAATGGCTCTAAACAAATTCTAAAGCAGCAGAACCCACAAAAATACACAGTGAAACGAATTTCCAGCCAAAGACAGCCTGGATGGTTGATCAGAAAGGCATATTGCACCGGGCTGGGAGAGGAGCTTAGGGCGTCATGGGCGCGCAGGCTGCAGCGAACCTGGAGCAGGCCTCAGAGGGCTGAATCCCAGGCAGCTGTGGTGGTTTCCAGACTTCTCAACCCACAAATGCCAAAGACAACTTAGAAGGTCAGTGGGAAAAGTCTGTGACTGCGGTGAGAGAAGGAGCTAGGTCTTAGCCACCCCTGGGGCCATGGCTGTTTCCTGAGCTTCCGGCCCACAGACTGAGGGGGAATCAAGTGGCTGATCAGAGGGGGATTGTAGGAATCTCTTTGCCAGTACTGAGGCAGGAAACTCTTGCTTTGCCCGTGCTTGGATCTGGGTCACAGTTTTGAGGGACGGTCCTGGGGCGAGGAGGAACGCTGGCCTGGTGGAGCTTGTTGTGGTGGAGGAAAGAAAACACCTCGCCCCTTATCATACCACCTTGGAAGAACTGAAAATTTTCAGGTCCCTAGAAGTATCTCTGAAAACAGCTGTACAAACCCCCGAAGCTTGGGACAGTACATCCTCCACATTAGAAGCAGACTTTTACCTTAACAAAGAGTTTAAAACTCAAATAATTGGCCAGCATCATGAGTAAGCAGCGCAAAAAGAGTCAGACTATATTATCTTACTTTGGTGACAAAGAAGATCAAAACATACAACCAGAAGAAGACAATGAAACCAAAGCTCCTACATCCAAAGCTTCCAAGAAGAATATGAATCAGTCCCAGGTCTTGGAAGAGCTCAAAAGGGATTTTGAGAAGCAAGTAAGAGAAGTAGAGGAAAAACCGAGAGTGATGCAAGAAAATCATGAAAAACAAGTCAACAGCTTGTTAAAGGAGACCCAAAAAAATACTGAAGAAAATAACACCTTAAAAAATAGCCTAACCCAAATGGCAAAAGAGGTCCAAAAAGCCAATGAGGGGAAGAATGCCCTAAAAAGCAAAATTGGCCAAATGGAAAAGGAAGTCCAAAAGATTACTGAAGAAAATACTTCCTTAAAAATTAGAATAGAGCAATTGGAAGCTAATGACTTTATGAGAAATCACGACACTGTAAAACAAATCCAAAAGAATGAAAAATTAGAAAGCAATGTGAAATACCTCATTGGAAAAACAACTGACCTGGAAAATAGATCCAGGAGAGAGAATTTAAAAATTATTGGACTATCTGAGAGCCATGATCAAAAAAAGAGCCTAGACATCGTCTTTCAAGAAATTATCCAGGAAAACTGTCCTGATATTTTAGAACCAGAGGGCAAAATAGAAATTGAAAGAATCCACTGATCTCCTCCTGAAAGAGATCCCCAAAGGAAAACTCCTAGGAATATTGTAGCCAAATTCCAGAGTTCCCAGGTCAAGGAGAAAATATTACAAGCAGACAGAAAGAAACAATTCAAGTATTGTGGAAACACAATCAGGATAACACAAGATTTAGCTGCATCTACATTAAGGGACCACAGGGCATGAAATATAACATTCTGGAGGCCAAAGGAGATAGGATTACAACCAAGAATCACCTACCCAGCAAAACTGAGTATAATCCTGCAGGGGAAAACATGTCATTCAGTGAAATAGAGGACATTCAAGCATTCTTGATGAAAAGACCAGAGCTGAATAGAAAATTTGGTTTTCAAATACAAGACTCAAGTGGAACAGGAAGAGGTAAACAGGAAAGAGTAAATCATAAGAGATTTATTATGGTTGAACTGTTTACATTCCTGCATGGAAAGATGATATTTGTAACTCATGAGACCTTTGTCAGTATTAGGGTAGTTGGAGGGGAAAAAATTATATGTACTATATATAGATATAGATAGATAGATAGAGGGCACAGGGTGAGTTGAAAATGAAGGGGTCATATCTGGAGAATAAAATTAAGGGGTGAGAGAGGATTATACTAGGAGAAGGAGAAAGGGAGAGGTAGAACAGGGCAAATTATCTCACAAAAAAAAAACAAACCAGAAAAGAAAACGTTCTTACAGTGGAGGGGAAACAGGGGATGGTGAGAGGGAATGAGTGAATCTTATTCTCGTAGAATTTGACTTAAGGAGAGAATAACATACACACTCAATTGGGTATGGAAATCTGTCTTACCCTACAAGAAAATGGGGAGGGGGAAGGGGATAAGAGAGTAGGGGGATGCTAGAGAAGAAGGCAGATTGGGAAAGGGGGTAATCAGAAACAAGTACTTCTGAGGACAGACAGGGTCAAAAAAAGAATAGAATAAATGGGGGGTGGGAAAGGATTAAGGGAAATAGAGTTAGTTTTTCACAGCATGTCTACTATGGAAGTGTTTTGCATAACTGCACATATATAACCCATATTTAGTTGCTTGCCTTATCAGTGAGGGTGGGTGGGGAGGGAGTAAGGGAGAAAATTTGAAACCCAAAGTTTTAAAAACACATGTTTAAAAAAAATGTTTTCACATACAACTGGGAAAAAAGAAATACAGGAAGTGGGGTACAGAAATCCATCCTGCCTTACAGGAAAATTGAAGGGGAAGGGGATAAGAGAAGAGGGGGGAGAGATAGAAGGGAAGGCAGACTAGGGGAAGGGGTATTCAGAATGCATGCCATGTGGGGGTGGGGGGAGGGGCGAGATGGGATGAAAATTTGGAACTCAAAATCTTGTGGAAGTAAATGTTGGAAACAAAAAAAAAAATAAAAATTATCATAAAAAAGAGAGTAGAGGGCTTGGAATTGATATTCTTGGAGGTAAAGGAGCTAGGATTACAACCAAGAATAACCTATCCAATGAAAGTGAATATAATCCTTCAGGGGGAAACAATTAATGATATAGAAGACTTCTAAGCATTCCTGATGAAAAGACCAGAGCTGAATAGGAAATCTGACATTCAAACCTAAGTCTCAAGAGAAGCATTAAAAGGTAAATATGAAAAGAGTAATCATCAGGGACTCGACAAAGTTAAACTGTTTGTGTTCCCATATAGGAAGATAATACATGTAATTCCTAAGAACTTTGTCATGATTAGGGCAGTTAGAAGGAGTCTATATAGACTGAGGGCACATGTGTGAGTTAGTTATGGTGGGATGATCTCAAAAAAAATGTAGGGGTGAGAAAGAGGGATACACTGGGAGAAGAGGGAAGAGGGAGGTAGAATGCGGAAAATTTTTTCACGTAAAAGAGGCACACAAGGAAGAGCCTTTGTAGTGGCAGAGAAAATAGGGAGGGGTTAGGAAATGCTTGAACCTCACTTTCAACAAAATTGGTTGAAAAAGGGAAGATTTACATATACACACTCAGTTGTGTATAGAAATTTATCTTACCTAATAGGGAAATAGGAGAAGGGGATAAGAGATATGGGGGGGTGATAATAAGGAGGGCAGATTAAGGGAGGCAGTGGTCAGAAGCAAAACAGACTTTTGAGGAGGGACAGGATAAAAAGAGAGAGATGGATAAACAAAAGAAAATAGGATGGAGAGAAATAGACAGTAATCATAACAACAAATGTGAATGGGATGAACCAACTCATAAAACAGAAACAGATAGCTGAATGGATTAGAAACCAGAATTTAGCAATATATTGTGTACAAGAGATACAGTTGAAATAGAAAGACACACATAGAGTTAAAATAAAGGGTTGGAGTAGAATCTATCAAGCTTCAACTGAAGTAAAAAAAAGGTAGGGATAGCAATCATGATCTCAGACAAAACAAAAGCAAAAGTAGATCTAATTAAAAGAGATAATCAGGGAAACTATATTTTGCTAAAAGGTACCATTCCAATGAAGTAATATTAAAAATTTTTATGGCAAGTTTCTCTGATAAAGGCCACATTTCTCAAATACATAAAGAACTGAACCAAATTTATAAAAATAAGAGCCATTCTCCAATTGATAAATGATATGAACAGGCAGTTTTCAGAAGAAATTAAAGATATCTATAGTCACACGGAAAAATCTAAATCCCTATGCATTAGAGAGAAGCAAAGTAAAACAACTCTAAGGTACCACTTTAGACCTATCAGAAATGACAAATGCTGGAGGGGATGAGGAAAAATAGGTAACGTTAATAAACTGTTGGTGAAAGTGAATTGGTCCAACCATTCTGGAGAACAATGAGGAATTATGCCCAAAGTTCTATAGAATTGCGCATACCCTTTGATCCAGCAATACCACTCACTACTAGGTCTATATCCCAAAGATATAAAAAAGGGAAAAGGACCTATTTCTACAAAAATACTTATAGCAGCTCTTTTTGTGGTGGCTAAACATTGGAAACTGAAGGGATGCCTATCCAATGACTATACAGCTATTGTAAATGTTTGTGATGGAATATTACTGAGGTATAAGAAACAACAATAGGATGATTTCAGAAAACCTGGAAAGACTTATATGAACTGATGCAAAGTGAAGTGAACAGAACCAGGAGAACATTGTACACAGTAACAGCAATATTGTATGATGAAGAACTGTGAACACCTTAGCTATTCTCATCAATACAATGATTCAAGATAATCCCAAAGGACTAATGATGAAGCAGACTATCCACCTCCAGAGAAAGAACTGATGTTGTTTGGATACAGACTGAAGCATGCTATTTTTCACTTTCTTTCTTTTATTTTCTTTTATTCAAGTTTTCTTGTACAAAATGATTAATGTGAAATTGTTTTACATGATTGCACATATACAACCTGTATCTGATTGCTTATTGTCTCAGGGAGGGAGGAGGGAAGAGAGGGAAGGAGGGTTAGAATTTGGAATTCAAAACTTAAAAAAGCATTAAATTGTTTTAACATGTAATTAGTGTAAAATAAAATATTATATATTTTTTCAAATAAAGAGAACAGTTAGTGACATTAGTCGAAGGCAGTGGTATCAAATTCAAATAGAAATGGGGCTATTAGTCCATACATAAGGATCCCTGCTGGCCACATATCAACTTAGTTTTAAAATGTAATGTTATCTATTTTATTGAATTTTTATTTGTTTTGTTAAATATTTCACCATTATATTTTAATCTGGTTCTGGGACTGCATGGTTGATACCTCTGGTCTAAGGGATTCCACAGCAACATGATCAGAATGAATCTTGTGAGACTTGAATCTAAATTGCTTTAGGATTTTTTGACATTCAAACACCTGGAAAATAAGCTAATGCCTTCCATTTCCTTGGGATAAGCTCATACTTCCAAAATCAAATGTAAAAAAAAAAAATGCACTCATTTTGAAAGGCAGAATAGAACAATGAAGAGGAAGCTGACTTCAGGGCCAGGAAGACCTGGGATTAAGTCTCATCTCTGCCACATATTGGCTATGTGACCCTGGGCAAGTCACTTAACCTCTTAGTATTCTAGGCAACTATCTAAGACTGTTAAATTGCAGAGAATTTGCCAACCTACTTTGGTAGAGGGGATTTATAAAACTGGAAGGTTCCTTATATCAATGAACTTATGGGTCTAATTCCTATCCTTAACATTTTCCCACTTTAAATAATATTGCAGGAAGTCTTATCTCTGATAACGATATGAAAAGGAAATACTCTGAATAAAGATTAAGGCTGGTAAAATCTTAAGATAATACTAGTAATGGATATTTGGAGAGCATTTTAAAATTCCCAAAGTACTTTACACATTATTTCATTTAAGCCTCACAACACTACTGAGAAGTAGAGATTATAGCTATAACTATAACCATTTTGCCTGCAAGGACACTGAGGCTCAGAAAGGTTAACTAACTTGTCCACAATCAAATAGCTGGCAAGGATCAGAGGCAAGATTCAAATCCAGGTTTTCAGAATTCCAAGCCTAGCAATGCCGTCCACTGGGCCAGCTTGCAAGCAGCACAAACCACCCCAATTTCCTATTTTGGTGGAAAACCCTGGTAGGAGGATACTTTTGAGCTTGTCTGGCTGACAGTAACTAGCTTATGGTATTGATAAAAGAGGAAAGATAGAAGGGCTTGACTGAAGAAGGAAATAAATAAAGGTCCATGAGGAATAAGGGGGAAAAAAAAGGTGGGGCTATATCAGATGGCCAGGGCTTCACAGAAGAGGAAATTAAGAACTGGCAGAAACTGAGTAGGACGAGTGTGGAGAGGTAATTGGAGGGTTGAAAGGAAGGAGGGAAGGGAATGAGAAAGGCAGGGCAGAAAGAGGGGACAATTTTGTGTTTCACAACTCCTACTTTAACAGTGAGCCGGTACTGGCGGTTGATGTGATCTTCTTTAATGTTGTGACGAGGCTTTCAGTCTGTCGTCTTGTACCTTTCCCTTTAGATGATGAAAAGAAAACAGCAAAATATTTGGGATATTTCCCAGTACTTTCACAAAAGCTGAAAGCATCCTTAGGATTCCTGATGTCCCATTTTTTATATCCTGAAGTTTACATACCTTTACCCTTGGTGCCATGCTCTTGATCACGCCTTTGCTCTGGGAGTCTGAAACCAAAAGGAAGAGCTCTGAGATTTCCTGTAAGAGGAACAGGTTTTATTTGTTTGTTTGTTTGCTTGCTTGCTTTTTAAACTTGTTTTACTTTCATTCTGTTTCTATAATTCTGTTCTCCAATAAAGCAATTCTGTTTTTCAGTTAACCCATTGTTTTGTTTATATTCTTCATAGGTATTTCTAAGCTGTTAAATTTCATAATTTAATCTTGCTTGGAAACTTTGCAAAAAAAAAAGGACAGAGCTCACAATAACATGATTAGGCACCTTGAAAACTGTAAAGCTATAATCCCATGATTATGTTTTATGGGACAAAAGAATTTCTCAGGAATATTGAAGGGACAAATTGTAGATAAAATTCACAGGACATCAACAGAGATGAACCCTTGATTCAATTAACCCAGACACATTGTCACCAAGCTTTTAGACTAAAATGACAAAGCAATAAATTTATAAGTAACCAAGAAGAAAATCTCAATGACATAGCTGGAATATGACATAATGAATGTCAAAGAAAATAGGACTTACTGAAGGATGTTTTTTATTAAGTCCACAGCCACATCATCAAGCATTGATTTTCCCATCTGGCTGGGCTGAAAAAGCATATCTTTAAACATTTCTGGCTTGTTTTCCTCATCAGAAACGGCAACAGATGCAAAGATAAGAGTCTCCTTTTCTGTGCTTGCCCCAAGACCCTGGAAGAGAAGAGAATAGGAGATAGAAGAGAATCTCCTTCTTCTGTTTCCAGCATCAGTCATAGGAAGGTTAAGCAAACAGAAACCCTAAGAATCCTCCCTATGACGCTCAGAACACACATTTTTCCCGGCTGTTTCCCAAGCCTAAAATGCTATTCCTCCTTATCTCCACTTGCTGGCTTTCCTGACTTCCTTCAAGGCCCTGATCAAATTTCACCTTCTACATGAAGGCTTCGCTAATCCCCCCTAATTTTAGTGCCTTTTCTCTGCTGATTGATTATTTCCAATTTATCCTGTATATAACTTGTTTGTTCCTAGTTGTTTGCATGTTGTCTCACTGCATTAGACTGTGAGGTCTTTGAGAGCAGGGACTGTCTTTTGCCTTTCTTTGTAACCCCAATGCTTAGCACAGCACCCAGCACAGAGTAGGTACTTAATGTTTGTTGATTGACTGGTTTCAGCATCTCAAAGTGTCTTAAAGAAACCAAGTTCAAAATGTTATTTTCAGGTTTGGGATTCATTTAGTTGATTCTCCTACATTTAAAATTTTTAACTCAGATTCCAATCTTTCCTCTTTCCCTTTCCCCTCTCCCCCCCTGCAACAAATTAGTACCGAGATCCCTGAAAACTTGGGTCACAAAGGAATTCATGGACCATGGGAAGGATGCATAGTATAATGGGAAAGATGTTGTTTTTAGACTCAGATGATGTGTTCATTTCCTTGCTGTACGACTTATTGAGTGACAATGGGCCAATAACTTAACGTCTCTTCTTTAGAGGCAATCGGTGGCACAAAGGATAGAATGCTGGGCCTGGAGTCAGAAGACCTGAGTTCAAATCTGGCCTCAGACACTTACTGGCTATGTGATCCTGGGGCAAATCACTCAACCTCTGTCTGCCTCAGTTTCCTCAATTGTGAAATAGGAACAATAATGGTACCTACCTTGCAGGGATTTTGTAAGGATCAAATATTTGTAAAAAGCACTTAGCACAGTGTTTGGCACATAGTAGGTGGTATATAAATACTTATTCTGTCTCTCTCCCTACACTGCCCCCCAACTCCCAATTTTACTCCTAGGCATATATTCCAAGGAGATCAATAATTTAAAAAAAGAAAAGCCCTATATGCACCAAAATATTTATAGCAATACTTTTTGTGGCAACAAAGAACCACAAACACAGCAGATGCTGATTGGTTGGGGAAGGGCTAAACAAATCATGGTAAATTAATGTAATGGCATATTACTGCGCTGTCAGCAAGAATGGGTACAGAGAAGCATGGTAAAACTTATATGAGCTGAAACAAGGTGAAGTAAGGAGAGCCAAGAAAACAACATACATAATGATGACAACAATGAAAACTGAAACACAGAGTAATGAAAAGATGAATGTTGCAAAATTACAAGTAGCAAGCTTGGCCCCAAAGAGGAGATTAGAAGACATTTCTCCCACATCTTTGCAGGGATGAGGGAGAGCTCCATAAGTGTGGGAACATTGCAAGTGTTGACAGGTGTTTTCCAATGTATTGGTCAGTTTTGCTGGGGGGGGGCAGCAAGGTTTCCCCCTCTTCCTTTTTTTTTCTTTTCTTCTTTTAAAAGGTTCTTTGTTGTAAGGAATGACTCTCTAGGAAGGGGAAGGGAAGGAAATAGAGGAAATTTAGATGATGACAAATGAAAGATATCAATAGAAATGATTTTTTAAAATTAGATCTCTCTGAATCTCAAGGTTTTTATCTGTAAAAAGAAGAGTTTGGGTTAGATTACATCTAAGGTCTCTTCCATCCCTAAGTCTTATGATCCCAAATACCATGCAACTTTATATTCCCCACAGTGCTTAGCATGGGTATAGCATCCTTCATACTGCAGGCATTCAATAAATATTTATGAATGAGTGAATAAACATGTTTATCAAAACTATCTTTAAGTATCATCTCTTTTTTCTATATATTCTCTCCCCTCAGAATGCTTATCTACATTCATTACAACTCTATCTCCAGTCTTGAACTCTCGTCCTATCAGCAACTTAAACTCAACATTTTCAAATCTGGACCCATTAATGAACCCTCTCAGTCCATAGGGCCTTAACTAAGAATCTCCCTGGGACAAATTCAGATGGGAGAGATGGTAGAGCAGAAGAATAGAGGGCAATTCAACTATGATGCAGTTGCACTAAGACAGGAGGGGACCATTCTTCTTGCAGCCCACAGAATTTGGAGGAGATTCTGGTACTATGGGAACTGGAACCATGATGTAGTGGACTGGACTTGTAGCACACTGAACTTGGAATCAGGTTGACTTAGGTTCAAATCCTGATTCAGACACTTATTGTTAGCTATGTGTCCTTGGGCAAATCAGTTAGCTTCTCTATGCCTCAGTTTCTTCATCCGTAAAATGACATGACTAGATTTGACAGATTCTAAGATCTTCCTAGCTCTAAACATATGGGGACAGTTTGCAAAGTCCTTCACATATATTACCTCACTGAAGCTTCCCTGCTATCTCATGAGCTAGGTACTCAGGGAAGTTGGTATTACAAAGAGCCAGCAAGGTTTCATCAAAAACACATGATACTAGACTAGCCTGACATCTTTTTTGGGACAGGATTATTAAACAGTAGATGATATAAATACAGTAGATACAGTTTCTCCCTAGATTTTAGCAAATAAAATATTTCATACTATTCTTACAGAAAAGATGGGCAGATAAGAATTAGACCAGTGGTGTGAAACTGAAACGGAAATGGAAACTATATATAAGGATCCCCACAGGCCACATACTGACTTAGAAAACCACATGTTAACATTATCTATGTTTTATTGTATTTTTATTTATTTTTGTTAAATATTTCCCAATTACATTTTAATCTGGTTCAGGAGTGTTGTGGTCGTGTGTTTGACCCCTCTGAATTAGATGATAGTACAATCAGATACAGTCCAAATTTGAAAGAGTAGTTAGTGGTTCAATGTAAATATGGCAGTAGGTCTCCAGTAGAACACCCAAGGATCTGTCCTTAAACTTATGTATTGTGACATTGTTATCATTGATTTACATAAAAGCATAGATGGCATGCTCATAAAATCTGTATATGAAACAAATCTTGGAGGGATAGCAACATTGGATGATACTCAGAATCCAAAAGGATTTTGAGAGCAGAGACCATTGGGCTAAATTGAATAAGATGAAATTCAATGGGGATTTAAAGGTAATAAAATCTTATACTTGGGTACGGAAAACTACTTACACAAGTACAAGATGGGAGGCATGGTTACACAGCAGTGGTTCTGAAAAAAGATCTGGGAGTTTTATTGAACTACAAGCTCAATATGAATCAGCAGTGTGAAGAGGCAGTCAAAAAAGCTAATTCAGCCTTGGGCTGGATTGAAAAAAAGCTCTAGCTCCTAAGAAGAGACGTGAAAGTCTCACTGAACTCTGCCCTCAAGAGAACTCATCTGGAGTATTGTTTTCAATTCTGGGAACCAAGGTTTAAGGAAGATATTAATAAGGTGGAGAGCTTCTGGAGAACGGCAATCAGGACAGTGAAGAGCCTTGAGTCTACGTCACATGAGGACTAGTTGAAGGAACTGGGCATGTTACCTTGAAGAAAAGATTAATGGGGACATGATAACTATCTTTGAGTCCTTGAAAAGCTGGCATATGGATGTTTGGCCCCAGAGAGGAGGACTAGACCAAAAGCAATGCACAGAAATGCAAAGAGCCCAACTTGGGCCTGACATCAGGAAAATCTTCCTGAACATTTGAGTTATTCCAAAGGAGCACTGGCTTCATTACGAGGGGCTGTGACTACCCTCCTTGGACATCTTCCAGCAGAAGCTGGAGGGCTGAGGCTTGGGCACGTCATAGTGGGATTCTTTGTGTTTGTGGCTTAACTAGAGAGCCACTTGGATCCTTTTCGACTCTCAGATTCTATGATACCAAAGGTATTACTATCTGTATTTTACCAATGAGGGAACTGAGTTTGAGGGAAGTTCAATGACTTGCCCAAAGCTAGTGAGTGTCAGAGGTAGGATTTGAACCTTGATCTCCCTAGTCTAGTAGCTTTTCCACTATCCCACACTGCTTCTTGGGGTTTTTATCTTAATGGACATTCTTCTCTTCAGACTCTATTGACACCAGGTTAAGTTTTCTACCACACAGTTCTGCTCTTTTCATTGCCCCACTGGAAAACCGTACCCAACTCTTCATTTTCTGGCAAATAAAATTTAAATGCTTTGGCCTAGACTCTAGGACATCTTGAAGCCAGGGGTCATTTCTTGTATCCCCTACAAAGTCCAGCATGGTATGTGATATATTGTAGGCACTCATGAAATATTCATAAAATGAATGAATGAATAAAAGAAGTAAATTTCCTAGTAAAAAATTCAGGCAGTCTATAATATGTAATTTAATACATAATAACTGAGTGAATTGAATTTTTTACCTGATCATTTTGCCTGTATACTTTATCTTCCCAACTGGATTATAAATTTTTTAGGGGTAGGGAATTTTGTCATATTTTTCTTCCAGCCTTCTCTGTGCTATGCATATATAGTAGGCAATTAATATATGCTTTTAAATTGTTTTTTAAAAATACCACAAAGGGTTGTGGAAAGAAAGGTATACTAACATATTGTTGGTGGAATAGAGAATTGACCAAACAATTCTAGAAAACAATTTGGAATTATGTGAAGAGAGTTCTTAAAATGTCCATTACCGTTTTACCTGGAGATATCATTGCCAGGCATATATCTCAAAGGGGTCAATGAAAAAAATAATACTCACAGTCAAATGCACCAAAAATTTTACATTAGCATTTTTTTGTAGTATCAAAGAACCAGAAACAAAGTAGATGCTCATTAATTAGGAAATGACTAAACAAGTTGTGGGACTTTAATGTACTGGAATATTACTATGAAAAATAACAAAAATGATGAATATAGAGAGACATAAGACAACATGTGAATTGATGCAAAGTGAAGTAATCGGAATCAAGAAAACAGTATACACAATGAGAACAACAATAAAACAGTAACAAAACAACTAAAATTGAATGCTATGAAAATAAAATAATCAAGCCTGGCTCCACAGGAAAAATTAGAAAGTAGGTCCTCCTCTCCCTCTTTACTCCTTTGCAAAGGCAGAGGACTATGAAGGAACACTGCATATGGTATCAGATGTTTTTGGTATGTTTCTTAATTTTGCTGAAAAATTTCCACCCTCTCTTTTTTATTCTTTGACATTGTGGTGGGGGGGTGGGGAGGGAGGCTCTGATATATTGAAAAATGTAGATTATGGGTAAAAAAATATATCAATAAAAATTTTCTTTTTATAAAATCTTAATAAAAGAGGTATATTCAAAATAAGGTGGGCAAAATTTGTTACCTGTTTACCTCTAGCATATCAAAAGTATTCTCTTTGATATCATCTGGATATTTTTAATCTGCCGTATTGTTTCACTATCAATATGCAGTAGATACTTTAGATATTGGATCCCACCCAACACCAAAAGAAGGTATTTTCATTCTTTTTCAAGATTCATGTCCCTCCTGATTCTCCTAGACTTTCTCCAGGGTGCCCCAGACATCTCTTCACCCTGGAGGCTCACCCCACCCCTGGATTTTACCCATTAGAAATATCCTCTGCCCTTTGTCCTTTCCCTCTGATTGGCTGATTCCTAGAACCTCCATTTTAAGAAGCCCAGGCCAGACATATCTTCAATCCTGTCCAGGTTTCCCTCTTGACTTTTTGGACTTCCTCTGTCCTTGCCATATCCCCTCTAACTCCTTCCACTTCCTTTTATGTATCATCTTCCCCCATTAGAGTATAAGCTCTGTGAGTCCCTGAATTGTCTTTCTACTTATATTTCTATTTACAGTGCTTATCACAGTGCCTGGCACATAGTAAGTACTTAATAAATGCTTGTTGACAACCTAAGGGATCACGCAAGATTTGTATAATCCTGTAGTATCTTTTAGGGCACTTAGGCAATTTGCTCCCCAATTAAAGACCCCCCCCCACACATAGCACCCTGAGTTGAAGGACACAGAAGTGCTAAGTAACATATTTCCTAGGAAAAGAGATATAATTATTACCTGGTTATCCAAATGGCAATTGAGATACTGAATCCTTTGGGTTAGTTTATCCACCACCTGTCTGGAAAAGCCAAATAAGTCTTCTGCACTCACAGTCTAATGACATGGGATAATGAAAATAAGTAGAGATTGAAAAAAAATTAGTTTTATTAGAATTGTACAGGAATAAATATTTAACTTTGTTTAGCAGTTTGAAGGTATTTGGGATCTACATCTGGTTCCTTTAAGAAGTCAGGTGGAAAAATGATGCTTGTTCACCTGGAGAGAAGGGGTCTTGACCAAGTATGTTAGGAACAGCTGGTGTCAGAAGTTATATTACACAGTCCACCTCCTTTTAAAAAGTCAGTTTGGAGCTACTTAGAGGGGGAAGAAGAGAGAAAAGCCTGGAGAGGAACAGTTAGCTCCACACACAACCACTCTATTTCTTACCGTTCCGATCTTACTCAGAGAGCACAGCAGAGAAAGAACATTAAAGAAAGCTTGGGACAGAAAGACGGCTCAGGTTAGGAACATTCTACGTTCAAAGTGAGTCGAAGAGATACGAAGTAATTAGCAACTATATTTGAAATGGTAGCTAAGCATATGATGCAATGAATGAGGCTAAAAGTTATGAAAAAACCTTGGAGCATCCTGTATATAAGAGAAAGAAAAACATATAAATGTTTAGAGAATGGGAGCTACTAGCGATTCAATTAATGATAAGGGACTCGATTGGTTTTTAGAAGCATCTGCTTCTCTTAATTTTTGCTTGTGACGCATTTCAATAAGAAAATAGAAGAAACCAAGAATATGGTATTTTCTAAATAAACTGATAATATTTTCTTATAAAAAGCAAGGCAATGTACTGAGTGATATATATGCTTCTTTCAGTTAAAAATTGCCTACACTAAGCAAAGATGAACATAGGATTTTCTTTGTAACCCCAAACCATTCTAAAATGGAATAAATGTGTAGGTTTATTTTTATATCCTCCTGGGACTTGTGTCTCCTCTGCCAATATCTGCTCTGGAAAAAAATAATCTTATTGGGACTACATGTTGCAAAGTTGAAGATGTGAAGGGTAGCATTCAAGATGCTGCTTTTTGGAAGGTCACTATACTACAATTCCTTCCTTAGAACTCGGATCATTTAGTGCCACATTAGAGAAATTATAGCAAGACCAAATTTGCAAAACAAAACAAAAACCCCCAAAACCAACAAAAAGAAACAAACAAAAAACAACAACAAAGCAGTTGGCTGGAAGTTTAATGGAAATATAGCATTATCTACAGCTCAGAGCCACAGCTTTGGACTCACACGGGCTAGATTTTGACTGAGGGTCTTTTCATGCAAATCTCTTTGACTTGTGTCCTCACTCTCAGGATTTATCCTGAGAACATCAGAAATTGACTCATGTCTCAGTATCCAGAAGAATGTCCTGGGTAAGTATTCATGTCAATGAAACATCTAATATAAGGCAGGTTTTTTTTTTTTCATATAACAGAATATACAAAGGACTCTTAAGCCCATAAATGGTCATGGCAATTCTCTTTCTTTACAGATAGTCCTTCACCTACCCTGGGAGCCTCAATAATCCTGCAGGCTTTAGAACTTTTCTAGTTGGAAATTTCTGCTCCCCTTCTCCCTGCCACACACTTAAAATAAAGGGAAAGAAATCAAGATTTCTAGAATATTCTAGTCCTAGGCCATGCTAGGACAAAGATTATTTATTATATTAAACTAGTAGTGTGATTTTTTTTTATGACAGAGATGAAGTTGAATCCACAAATTCATTTGATTTCACATTTCAAAAGGGGTACTGCTGAGGCTTATATCAAAGACTCCATATTTTCTTTCCTAGGGAGGGCATTTCCCTCTACTCTCTGTTGATTTCAAGAAAAAAAAAGTTAAATCCAAGAGGATACTCAGAATCTTATCTTATCATCCAGGGCTGAGACTTATCATATTTTAGACACAAATAAGTCAAGTCTCCTCATTAGAATTATATTTCTATCACTAGATACCTCTCAGATTCACAACCTGTTAGGCACAAGGTATAGGACTGGACACTTACTTTTTGGTTCTCAAATTCTTGACCACAAATACTTATCTTGTGGCGAAGTTCTTCCAGAGCATTATTTAGTGCCTGGGTTTGAAAATTAGATTTGGATACCTGGAAATGAAGAGGGTTAGAATTTGGTTATAGAAGGAGTTAAGAAGAATATACTGAAATATGTTTTCTGGTAAATGAGTTGACATGTGAAAAAAAAGCTATTACTCTCCATTTGGCCTAAGCCTCAAATTCAAGTTCAAAATGATGCTCAAATTTAGCAGGTAAAAAACTAGAACATTTAAATCTGGGACAGAGGAAAGTATGAAGAATCTTGTTATATTTAACATCAGTTGTGACATCACATACAAGCTAGATTATTCCTCATTAATTTGTACCTTGGAGAAAAAAAATGAAAAGCATTTGTTGAATTTTAAAAAATTATTCAAATGATGTTTCTTTTGTGTGTGTTCTATTGACGTCCACACAGTGTAGTATGGTGGATACAGACTTGGTCTTGGAATCAGGTAGGCCTGAGTTCAAGTCTTACCATTGTACTGGCTGTATTATTTTGGGCAAGTTACTTAACCTCTATGGGATCTGAATAAATTATTTAACAGGTCCTTGGCAATTTTCTAAGACTCTAAGTTGAAAAATAATTGCTGATCTGCATTGTTAGACAGGTTTTCCTCAAATAGGAATTCTGTACATCAATGAAATCACAGGTCCAGATCAGACCAAAAGGACTTTGTTAATTTTTATGTGTTTTTATGTTAACATTTTAAAATGTATATATCTTCATTTAAAATTAGTATGGCTATGGGGCATCAAAAGCTCAAAGGACCACTCAGGCCCTTTTAAAGATCCTGCCACTAAGTAGAAAGCTGGGAAACAATTTTTACAGCCAGTATCTCTGATAAAGGCCTCATTTCTAAAATATATGGACAACTGAGTAGAGTTTATAAGAATACAAGTCATTCCCAGTTGATAAATGGTTAAAAGATATGAACAGGCAGTTTTCAGAGGAAGAAACTAAAGCAATCTGTAGTCATATGAAAAAAATGCTCTAAATCACTATTGATTAGAAAAATGCAAATCAAAACGACTCTGAGGTAACATCACACCTATCAGATTGGCTAAAACAGGAAAATTATAAATATTGGAGAAGATGTGGGAAAATTGGAACACTAATACATTGTGGGTGGAATTCTGAACTGGTCCAACCATTCTGGAGAGCAATTTGGAACTATACCCAAAGGGCTATAAAATTGTACATACCCTTTGACCTGGCAATAACATTTCTAGATCCCAAAGAGATCATAAAACAGGAAAAGGACCTACATGTACAAAAATATTTACAGCAGCTCTTTTTGTGGTGGCAAAGAATTGGAAATTAAGGGAATGCCCATCAATTGAGGAATGGCTGAACAAGTTGTGGTATATGAATGTAATGGAATACTATCGTGCTATAAGAAATGATGGGCAAGCAGACTTCAGAAAAACCTGGAAAGATTTATATGAACTAATGCTGAGTGAAATGAGCGTACTACTTGCTCTCCTTTTGTTGTTTTGTTTTGTTTCCTTATTCTCATGGTTTCTCCCATTAGTTCTAATTCTTCTTTACATCATGACTAATGTAAAAATATGCTTAATATGAATGTATAAATAGAGCCTATATCAGATTGCATACCGTCTGGGGGAGGGGGAAGGACCAGGAGGGGGAGAAAATTTAAAACTCAAAATCTTATGGAAGTGAATATTGAAAACTAAAAATAAATAAGTTAAGGGGCAACTAGGTGGCAAACACTCATTAGCTGTGTGTCTCTGGGCAAGTCACTTAACCCCAATTGCCTCACCAAAAAACAAATAATTAATTAGTTAAAAAAGAAAAAAGATCCTGCCACTACAATACCTTAATATTTACCAAAAGAATATCAGGCAATGGTTGCTAGCCTAGGAATCACAAGAGATGGGATCTAGTCTAGGCTCTGCCACTAAATAAGTGTGTCATCTTGGACAAGCCACTTCACTCATAGGAGCCCCAGTTTGCCATTTGTAAAACGAGGGCATTGGGCTAGAGGTGGGGGTTAGTGCTGGAGTGAGTTGTGGTGGGAGCTGCCACAAGTAAAGTTCTACAAGGGTTAACCAAGGGAGATTGTGACTGTCTTATGCATTAAAAGGGATAACTCAATATTTATCAGGCAAATAAAATTTGTTATATGTTCCACTGACCATATCTAGATACCACACATGTCCCAAATATGTTGCCTTTCACATGTGAAGATAATATTGACTACCAGCTGTAAGGGAAACTTTGAGTTGTTTGTCTAATAATGTTGATGGATTTGTGCTGATCCACTCCTCTTTACCCACAGTCCCTGCTATGTCCAATGGTAGACATAAGTGAGATAGTTGGTTGGGCTGGTCTGTGACTACCAAGGGATCTCAGGTTTAACTCTACCTTTGGCAATTGAACTCAGAAGCTCATGAGCATCGTGTTCTAGTTAAGTAATCTGATAAGCCACAGGCAAAGCCAATTCGTTCTATGTCACTTCATGCCATTCATTTGTTGCTCCTGAGAGTAGCTGCTGAAAATGTCCCCCCTCCCTCCCAATTTTTTCTAGATTTGAGCCTTCACAAAGTAGAAAAAGAAGAAGATGGCACCAGAGACATGAGTCTAGTTAGGCACAAGGTTGACCATGGCTAGCACAACCCCAAATTGCTGATAGTCACTCATTTGTGAAATTCCTCAAAGGGTCTCACATTCCCTTCCTTACCAACATTACCCACTTTTCTCCACAGCTGGCCAGAAATCCCTAAGATAAAATAAATGACATCAACCCATCAGTAAAAGAAATAAGAAATTCTCTACCTCTGCCTTGATATTCACTTGCAGATTTGTCAAGAATCGCTGGATTTTCTCTATAAAACTGAGATCCACTGATAGGTTATGAAATTTACTTTCAAATTTGTTGATGATCTCATTTGCCTACAAAGAAAGACAAAAAGTAGAGAGTAGAGGCCTAATTCTAATTCTAAACTGAATTTGAAACAAATCAACCGTATATCTTTAAAACCTAGAAGATATTACTTTTACATTAGAATAATGGCAGAATGTCAATGACTAGTGCATTTGAACTCCCACCTGTGGGATGAGAAAGATGTGCTCACCTGCTCTATATATTCACTCTCCATTTTCTCCATTTTCACCATGATAAAACTCTCAACAAATTCAATCCGTAAGGATTCCTTTTCTAGTCGACTACAACATGCACTCAATTCATCAGGGGAGAAGTTCCCACCCTCTGAAAACAATCTGAAAGTAAGTTAGAATAAAAGCCTCAGAACTCAGAACATCTTGAATTTTCTAGTTACCAGATATAAGTGCTGGAGTCAAGGAAAATGTCCGTAAGCTGCCATATCTGGAGAGAAAGGATAGAAGTGGAAGCCACAATTTCATTGGTAGGTAGGGCTAGGTCCCAGGTGAGGCACTTCCCCTACCAAGGCAGACTGGTGCCTTCTCTGTAATTTATCCCCTTAGAGAAGCTTGGTCTGGGGTGGAGGGGGCACCTTCAAGGGGAAGGAGTGGAGAGGAATTCCACAAACTACTGCCTGAGGGCATATCTGGCCTACCACCTGATTTTGTACAGTGAGCTAAGAATAGTTTGGCTTTTTTTTTTTTCAGTTTTCAACAGTTTTATTGGATTAAAAACTTTCAGAGTTAAGTCTTCTTTTGCAAGCTATACGAAAACAGGCACTGAAGGGGCAGTTAGGTGGCACAGTGGATAGAGCTCTGGTCTTGGACTCAGGAGGACCCGAGTTCAAATGCAGCCTCAGACACTTGACACTTACTAGCTGTGTGACCCTGGGCAAGTCACTTAACCCTGATTGCCTCACAAAAACAGGCACTGGGAAGGATTTGGCACTCAAGCTATAGTTTGCAGACCCCTGCCTTAGGGAGTTAATGATTTGGCCAGGGCCACATAGCCAGTACCTATATTTTTCTGGCTCTGAAGGCAACCTCTTTACCTCCTACTCTCCATTTCAGCTCCAGGCATTTTCTCTGACTGTCTTTCCTCCATGCCTGAAATGCTTCTCCTCATCATCTCTGCCTCCTGGCTTCCTGGCTTCCTTCAAGTCTGAGACTTTAGACTCTGCTCTTCTACAGGAAACCTTTTCTGATCTCCCTTAATTCTAGTGCCCTGCCTATTTTTATCTCCAATTTATCCTCTAACTAGATCAACTGTACACAGATGTTTGCATCTTGCCTGCACCATTAGACTGGCATCTCCTTGACAGCAATGACTGTCTTTTACCTTTCTTTGTGTCCCCAGGGCTTAGCACAAGTAGGTGCTTCATAAATGGTTATTATTGACTGTCTGACTACACCATACTTCCTCTTATCTGTAGAAGGAGAAACTAATGCTTACTTTCATGTATCTAGTTTATGTATATGTAAAGATGGGGAGAGGAGAACAAAAGCTACAAAAAAAGAGATCATTGAGAACAAATCCACATCAGTTTTTACCTGCATTTTTTCAGAAAATCCGTATTTGCAAATCGGAGTTTCTCCATGTTTTCTTCTACGTATTGTCGGAAACCACGAATGGACACCTGCATGACATCCACGTAAGACAGCAGCTCTCTGTGCAGGCTAGAGCTGAACAGAGTCAGACTGAGAAAACAAAGAGAGCCCAAGAGAATGGAAATTTCTGGGGAGTGTTGCCATGATATTTTGTAAGACCATGTTCTCCAAACACTGGCTCCAAACCACATGGATGAACATTTTGAGAGCCCAGAGATTCTTTCCTTTCACTCCCATTATCAACTGCAAGTACCCCATTAGTCCACCAGTTTTCCGCCATTGGTTTCACCTTCATGATACCAATTTAACTGTTGTCAGAAGCAGGGTGATCTATTGCTACTGCTTCCCTATCTGATTTGAACACAACGTTCAAAACTTGGCATTTACATAGTACTTTATAAAAAGGGGGAGGTTCCTCAAAATGCTTTTTTTTTATACAGTTGTGGCACTGGTAAACACAGTAGCTAGAAAAAGATATTTGAATACACTTTACACTCAGCTAACATATCCGCCTCAAGGAAGAATCAGGACTTTGGGGAAGGAGATCAGTTTCAAAATAGGTCTTTAGGTTAAAACAAAGGAGGATCAGATAATGCCTGAATAATAAGTGCCTAGTTCTATTCCTCCTCTGGAATTTAAGACTAGTGATTCTGCATCTGCAGCCTAGTGGAAATCCTTTGAGGAGAGTTGCTGATCTGGGGAGAAGGTTGGCCCCCTTACTTCTGACTTGTGGTAGAGTTGAGGAAAGCTTCTTCTATGTTAGTCATCCAATTCTGGAAGTTTCTGTTTTTGGTGTTTTGTTCTTCCTGGAATTTATAGAACAGGATCCTCTCTTTTTTCAGCGTTTCCAAGATGCCGGCGCAGTGACGATCGAGCCGTTCTTGATGAAACAATAACTCGGCTACAAAGGAAAGATGGGGCACAAATGAGACTTTCAACCTCTCTTGGCAGTCCCTTCCCAAACAGACTGGGGAAACAAATAGATTTCTAAACAGTGGCGAATGATGGCATTTATTCAACCACCTCACCAGCTGAGAGTACCCAAAGTTAATAGAGAATGTTCATGTTCAAAGAGATGACCCACAATGAGAAAAAGAACACGGACTCTGGAGTCAAGAGGACGTATATTCAAATCCTGTCTCGAATGTTTATAACCTGGGTGTCACTTAGCATCCATGGGCCTTAATGTCTTCAACTATAAAACAAAAAGGATTGGGCTCCATGGCCTCTGAGGTTCCTTCTGCCCCTAGATCTCTGTGTTCTTAAGATCTGAATGTAATCTTTTTATTCAAGGAGTTAAGAGTATGGCCGAGATATGTTCCTGTAGGACAGGACAGAAATTACCAATGTATTCTGATCCACAGACTGATTGGGGAGGTGACTATCCCTGGAAAAGACAGTCTCTCTCTCTTCCCTCAGCCTGAAAGTTCAGGGGTGGGAGAGAGTGGAAATTCCTCAAAAAAAAAGAGAAATGAACACAACGCACCAAGGTAAAAACAATGTGCTATCTCTTTAGCACTTTAAGATTTCAAAACACTTTCCTCACAATAACCCCAAGGTAGACAGAGATTATCCTCATTTGTCCTTGGATGCCCAGTGCCTAGCACAGGGTCTTTTACATAGCAAGTGCTATGGTTAATTAAATTATTGACTGGATTGTGGACTGGGTGCTCTCTGCGGCCCCATCCTCCTCAATTATTCTGAGATTCAAATCAGAATTCTGAAGCCGACCTCTTGCAGGTCCTGAAGCAATCCACTGGTGATTCTATCTCCCTGGTTCATTTGGCCTTTGGAAGTCACATCCAAAGGCAGTGGTTACAGAGGTGATTCAGCAGATAGAGTGCTGGGCCTGGAGTCAGGAAGACTCATCTCCCTGAGTTCAAATCTGAACTCAGATACTTCCTAGCTGTGTGACCCTGGACAAGTCACTTAACCCTGTTTGCCTCAGTTTCCTCACCTATGAAATGAGCTGGAGAAGAAAATGGCAAACCACTGCAGTATTTTTGCCAAGAAAACCCCCAATGGGGTCATGAAGAGTCAGACATGACTGAACAACAACAAATATCATTTTTGGTAATACAATACTTTGATGGATCTGGCATCTCATTGAAATAGGCACACCCTCCCCCACAGAACACCTCAATCCTTCCCTGCATTTCTTATTGTCTACTGAAGCTATAGCAAAATGATCCTGTAGCTTCGAGTTCAGAAGAAAGTGTAGGTGTGCAATCTCGGCAGAATTGGGGGGGAAGTGTGAGAGTTGTATCCACACATAGATCAAGGCTGTCATTTAAAAGACTTTAATTTCCTAATGTAGGAAAAGAAAGGGCACAAAAAGTTATCACCCTTTTTTGGAAAACTCCAGACAAGTTGCAAATTCACAGTCATTTTCCACAGTTTGCTAAAAGGCACTAAATAGACTATGAGTGCTAGGCAAATTGATGTAATTAACAAAGTGTAACCACAATTCCAGGAAAAATCTCAGACAAGCACATTTCATAGGGTTATAGATCTACAGCCCAAAGGGACCTTACAGGTCCTCTAATCTAAGCCTTTAATTTGACAGCTAAGAAAACTGAGGTCTAGAGAGGGGAAGTAATTTGCCTGTGGTCACACAGGTAACCAACCAGTGGTAGAGCTAAGATCAGAATAGGGGTCCTCTGACTCCAAACTGATCATTCTTCCAGCTATGTGATCCTGCGTCTTTGGAAAGAATTGAGGGAAAGTGGGATTCTACCTGCTCTGACGTTGTAGATGCCCATCTTTATGTATTTAATCCTTGGTTTATGTAAACAGAGACGCAGCTCCAATTCTGAATCCAGCTCCTCAGTCTTGGCAGCAACAATGATCTTGGAGTTGGTCAAGGACTGGCCAAACCACTTCTCAAGGCATTCAAAAAACTCATAGCGGATTCTGTGATCAAGAGAAAAAGAACCTAGTTTAGAAGACACTCCCACTTCCAGATAAGTCAATTTAGGAAATATACACAAGCACAGTAAATTCACATAGAAGGAACAGAATTTACTTGATAAATACTTTAAAAAGTCATGAGTTCCATTTCAGCAGTCCTCAGCAGATGGGCTTTGCAACAGGCTTTACAAGGTTGTAGCCAAAGCCACAAATCTTACACATGCCTCAATTCAATTCATCAAGCATTTATTAAGTGCCCATTACATACAAGGCACTAAGGATACACAAAAACAAAAAGAAGAAAATCCCCTGCCTCCAATGAGCTTGCATTCTACTGAGAAAACAGAAATATATACAAAATAATTTGAGGAAGAAGAAACCATGCTAACTAGTATTTTGCATAAATGTGCAGGTGAAGGTAATGGCTGGAGGCTGGGCTTTCTATGGCTTGAAGACAGTCACCAAACCAATGACTGTAAATAATTTCTAGAGGGGCTGCTGTGTTTTGTTTGGTTTTGTTTGCCATCTAAATCATTCCTCCCCCAACTCAGAATAATATCCCCTTTGCTCACTTATTTCAGATGCATCTTTTCTAAATTTTCAACATTTTAAAGGCCCCCCTCCAATAAATCCCAGTCTAAAATACTGAAGGAAGGATATTCCTACTAACTGTTTTTTTAATCTTGAAAACAGTTGGGATGGTAAAATCACATGTTGCAGGTATGCGGCAGTATTCTGAGAAGTGTCATCCAGTGATGCATCAGATAATGTAGTATGGAGCAATTTACTTTCAGCTTCTTCAGGAAGTGAAAAGACCAAATACTTGTTCCCACTGGAAGTTACAAAGGACTCAAACCCTTCATCAGAGCTTTCAATTATATTTTCCTTCTCTGACATAGTCACAGGCTGAACCTAGACAAGTAAGATAGCTTTAATATATAAGAAGCACGAACCCTGTAGCAAAGCTACAACTAGGGTAAAGTGACTGTGGCTTTCCTCCAGGGCACTAAAATTTAGAAGGCACTGAGGATACTTTTGGTCCTTCAGTAACCAGAAACAATTAAACTTAGCACCTAGTTAGCAAATAACAGGAAGTGGTAAAATCATGTCTTTTTCCTCCCCTACACCTCGGGTGAGCTTTTCCCTAGAGCAGCATCACCCCTGCCCCTCCTGGGGTCTCTGACAAACCTCTCAAATGAACCATGTTTTGTGCAGCTTGCCTCAGGTACATATGGGTGGAAGGATAAATTGCCCAAGGAACATGTCTTACAAGCATTTATAATCAAGATTTATACCTTACGTAGTTAGCGGCATTATAAGAACAATTTTTGTTATCATATCCAAAGGGGGTGGGTTTGAAGACAGGAGAGACACCAAATGAACAAAATGTATTTAATGTGAAAATCTCACTGCCAACACATCAAGTTCAGATGGGGCCCTTAGGCAAACCCAACAACTGGAGCAAATATGACATAAACACTGAAGGCCAACAAGAACTTACTCTCCATAAGATCCCCAGTGGGGGAGTATAGAAATGCTTTATGGAAAGGGCCAGGGATGCTGTTACAAGGCAGTAAAAACCTCACGTATGGGGTAATGACACACTCCAACAGCAAGACAGAATCCCATCCATGATGCTTAGTAAAAACCTTTGCCTCTGCTCCCTAGCAGCCTCTTCCAAACGAGTCCAATCCAGTGTGATGCAATCCAATAAGCATTTATTAAGTATCTATAATGTGCAAAGATTGATGATCATAGCCTGGCTGATAGAGAACTGGCCATGGAGTCAGGAAGACCTGGGCTCAAGTTGACCCATGAAACATACTGGGCTGTGTAACCTTGGGCAAGTCACTTGAACTTTTCAGTTGTTCTATAAAGGCAGCAGTGCAGTGTAATGGGAAGAGCATTGTAGACAGAATACCAAAGGGAGTCAAGAGTCCTAGATTCTAGTCTCAACTTTGCAACTAATAAGCTATGTGAATTTGATCAAGCTGCTCCCCCTCCCCGAACCTCCACTGGCTTACTACTTAGACCGTGGCTACAGTGGTTGAATCTACAGTTTATCTTAATTCTCTATTTTGCCTTTTTTTGGGGGGGGGGGAAGGAGATGTCTAAACTTTTCAGTCAACATGATTTAGGATCTTGAATAAATTTTCCTCAATTTCCTTATAATCTTATGTCCCAATTACTACAAAAAAGCATGTTGTTTACAATATTATGATTATAAAGAATCAATAGAGTCAATTTATTGCAGCAAAGATAATAAAAGACAGAATGTAACTATGGGAAGATAGGCTCCATGATTGGTGGAGCTGTGGTTTGGTTTATCTGTCTTGGGAAACAATTTGGAATTATGCCTGAAAAATCACGAAATTCTTCTTACCTTTTGATGCCATGGTCACTCTACTGGGCCATTGTTCCAAGGAGGTCAAAGTTAGAAAGAAAGGCCTACATATATAACCAATTACTCATAGCAATACTTCTTCATGGTTAGTAAAAAAAAAAATGGAAGTGGAATGGATGTATGTTTATTGGGGAATGGCTATACAAACTGTGGCATTTGAAGGTATTATAATACTACTTTGTTGTAAGAAACAATGAATTTGAGGAATTCAGAGAAACTTGAGAAGATTTATATGAAATGATGAAAAGAAAGCACAAGGAGAACAATATACATAATGACCACAATAATGTAAATTACCACAACACTAAATGGTAGCCTAACTCAGATTAAATGCACTCACTAATAATAATAATTAACATTTATATAGCACTTACCATGTGCCAGGTACTGTGCTAAGTATGTTATAATTTTTATCTCATTTGATTCTTATAACAACCCTAGAAGGTGGGTGTTATTATTGTCTTCATCTTACAGATGAAGAAATTGAGGCAAACAAAGGGTAAATGAGTTGCCCATGGTCACACAGCTAGTAAGTGTCTGAGGTCACATCTGAACTCAGGTCTTCCTGACTCTAGGACCAGCACTTGGTCCACCACCACCTAGCTGCTCTTTCTTGCTGCCAAAGAACAGATGATGAAACAAATTTCCTTCTTTTTTTGTTGGAGAAGTGGCGGATGGTTTGACTTTGTTACAAAGTATGGTTCTATGGGGTAGAAGATAGATGGGAAAATGTGATATAAAAACAAAAGATGTCAAAATGAAACTTACATATCAACAATATTGTGGCTGGGCTGCATCGATATGATAACAATGAAAGTGTCCCCTAAATTGCTTTACAGTTATAGTACTATACAAATGGTACTACCTAGGAATACTTTTGAAGGTAGACAAAATGATAACAAAATTCATTTGGCAGAACAAAAGGTCTACAATATTAAAGGAAATATAATCTAAAAAAGTAGGAATGAAGATAGCACTTCCAGATTCTAAATGATACTATTGTGCTGTCTCTGCCCTCTTGGTAGGTGGTGCCCAGAAGGTGCTGTGCTTTGTATATGTAAGGGGATGTGATTGCTGATTGTCTGAGAGAATGCTGAGCCATGATGCTGTGTGAGTGTAAAAGAGATTCTCTTCATTTTTATTGGACACACACTTCTAGAGAGGACCTTTAGAAAGGTTGGGACTTCTGAATAGTAGGCTGGAGCCTCAGAAGCCTTAAGAGATGTAAGGAAGCTGGCCTTCCATCATGTCTATTGACTTGCAGCATCTGTAGCCCTAGACACCTCTAAGGGCAGGCTTCCCTTTGGTGAGATTCTTCTCTCTCCTGGTTCGAGATGAGACCTTAGCTTGCTCTCAGATTAAGAGCTTGTTTACTCTTATGCATGCTTTTTGGTATATTCTAATATGCATGACTTTTCTGATTTCTGTTTTATACTTTCTATAATAAGGACGTTTACTAGTTATTCATGACAGTCTTTTGTGTCACTAGCTTTTGGTGGGAAGGGAATGAACTGGAGAATATGAGCTAAGGGCTACCCTCCCCCTTGAAAGTGACCTGGGAAGTGACTTTTGTTCTGAACTCCTTAGACTCATAGCGCTAGACTGAAGATAGTTGAGGTGTGGTAAGCATAGCTTGATACTTCTATTAGAGATGAAATAGCCTTGGTGGTCTTGGATCCTACCTCTCTCTTTCTCCACATACATAGGCTGCTGGAGATTAGACTGCTGGGCATATATCCCAAGGAGATTAAAGATAAGTATAAAAATAAAGATCCTTATGCTGTAAGAAATGATGAGCTGGTTAATTTAGAAAAACATGGAAAGACTTGCATGAAATAATGAAGAGTGAAATGAGCATATCCAAGAGAATGTCATATACAGTAACCACAATATTGTTTGAAGAACAACTATGAATGACTAAGTTGCTCAAATCAACTACAAAGGACTTATGAAGATGCTAGCCACCTCCAGAGAAAAAACTGATAAATAGAAGTATGCATAGCATTCTTTTACATATATATGTGTGTGTACACATATATGTACATGTATGTGTTTGTATCAATGGTGGCCTTTTCTAATATGGGGTGGAGAGGGACAGAGGGAGACAGCTCAGAATTTAAAATGTAACAAAAAAATAAATAAAATTAAAAAAATAAAGATCCCATTACACCAAAATTTTTATAGCAGCATTTTTTTTTTTGTGGTAGCAAAGAATTGTAAAGCAAGTTAATTCCCATTAACTGGGAAAAACCTAAACAAATAGTGGTACATTAATGTAATGGAATATCACTGTAGTTTAAGGAATGATGGATATGAAGAACACAGAGAAGCATGGGAAAACCCATGAACTGATATAAAGTAAAATAAGCAGAACCAAGAAAACAATACACCCAATGTCTACAACAATATAGATGGAAAAGCAAACAAACTGAATCCTGCGTAATTACAATGATCCAGCTTGGCCTCCAAAAAGAGATGGAAAAAGTGTACTTCCCTTCCTTCTTTGCAGAGGTGGAGGCAATGGATGTGAAACACTATGTGTGAAACAAGACTTAGTTGATAGGTTGCTTAGTTTTGCCAAAATATTTCCCCCCCCTTTTTCATACTATTTTCAAGACATGGCTCCCTGGGGAGGGGCAAGGAGAGGAATATATCCAGAAATGAAGGCAATATAAAAAAGAAAGATATCAATAAAAGGGTTTTTTTGTTTTTAAGCATTGCCTTGTGATTTTTACTGGACTGAAAATTATATGATTTTCATGAGCCCTAAAGTACATCTACTATTACAAAGTCACTCAATCAACATTTATTATGCGTTTACTATGTGCCAGGCACTGTGGGATACAAAAAGAGGCAAATGACAGTCCTTGCCCTCAAGGGGGAGGCAATATAGAAACAACTACAAAGCAAACTATATACAGGATAAATAGGAGATAATGAATACGGAGAAGGCACTGGAGATAAGAGGGGTTAGGGAAGGTTTTCAGTAAAAGATGAGATTTTAGTTGCATCTTAAAGGAAGCCAGGCAGGTCAGTGGTCAGAGCGGAGGAGGGAGAGCATTCCAGGCATGGCGGACAGCCAGAGAAAATTAAAGTAGTCTAACTGACCTCGTGGAAGGACAAGACTTCGAGGCTTTCCTGTGTCTCATTCTCTGTCTGGTCTACTAGGTGTTTGCTAGCTTCTGCCAAGCTTTCTCCTGGGGTCTCTAGTTCTCCAGGTTCCTGGGAAAGACTTTCTTTGAAGGTCTGTGTCTTCTCACTTATGACTCTATCTTTTGAGCTCTTGGCATCCTCCTCCATTTCGGAAGCTGGGCACTCTTGGATTTCCTTCGCTTCTGTCAGGAAGTTGGCGTTGCTTTTACTTTTGCTCAAGGTTGTCATATCGCCACTCTCAGGAGGAGGTATCTTGCTTTCCTTTTCAAGGTTGAAGACTTTTTTTATGATATCTTTTAGATGAGAGGGACTCTCTTCGAGAACCTTAGCTGTTGTTCCAAAATATAAAACACATGGGTATTAATAATGATAGACATGGACTCAGCCCCAAACCAAAAAGTCATGTGGGTTTACACTGAAAGATGTTACCTGGCTCTCTAAACCGTATTATCACCTCACCATCCATGTTCTGAAACAAAAGAACAAGTATATGATATAATCTTAAGCAAGAGGAGTCTCTTCCCAATGTTGATTTTAGTTCATTCAACCAAAGGTTGATTCTCTGCTTTGAGATTTGGGTAATTTCCAGAAAACGGGAAATCTGAGTTTCTCTTTACATACTTCAAGATTTACATACTTTACATACTTCAAGGTTAGCACACCTGCCCACACATGTCTTCTGCACATAGCTGGGACTAAGCAAATGTTCAGTGTCTAAATACAGTAACATCCTGCTTGTGCTTTTTGGGACATGTTGGAACTTTTCAGAAAATGTAACTTGAGACAAAATGATTAATTTGCCCAAGCAGTACTTGCTAATACTTTAACACAATACAGTAATATAAATATAATGTTTATATATAGCATACAGTCACATAAAACATATCACCAAACAGAATGGTCTGTATGGACTTCTTTTATCTCAGACAAGCAGGAAGATCTTTTTGTTTGTTCTTTTGTTTTCTAATGAATTTCTATTATAAGTATAGCTACATACATCAAAAATTATATGGTAGTGTTGGAGTTTCAGAAAAGCCTAAACTTCTAAGTTGCTTTCTTAAATTTTCTTTTAAAAACTGGAAGTTTGGTAGAAGATTCTGGAAAGATGGTGGAGTAGGTCAGAAAACTTTTAGCTCTCCAAATTTCCTCCACAAAAAAAAAGACAAAATATTGCCTCAGCATAGCAGAAACACAGGGTAAAGCAGTTGTTTTCCTAAGGCTAAGAGGACCCCAGGAAAGACCCTACCTCCAGGCATGGAGGTTCAGCCTGAGTGAAGTGCAAACACCTCCAGGCCAACTCTGCAGAATCAACAAACAACAACCCCCGGGGGCAGCTGGGTAGAGAGGCAGCCTCAGCCTTAGAAACATTCATCTCTCAGACAGTGTGTGTATGTGTGTGCATGTGTGTGTGTGTGGGGGGGGGTGTTGGGTGGGAGGGGGGTAATGATGGCTGAGTAGGAAAAGACTAAAGGACCTTCCCCTGTCGAGGGACACCAAGCACAGCGGCGCTGCATCCCGGGCTATGGCTGCAGGGAGAAGGAGCTAGCACACACCCGATGAGTCTGAACTGAGGGGCACTTGACAATCTTACCTAACTAATCGATTTATTCAATGCTATCCCAATTAAATTACTAAAAAATTATCTTACTGAATTAGAAAAAAATAATAACGAAGTTCATAGGGAAGAACAAAAGGTCAGGGAAAAAAGGTCCCTAATGTAAAGGAAGCAGATTGAGCAGTATCTCAGATCTTAAACTATTATAAAGTGAAAGCATTGTTGAAATGTGAAAAAGATAATTTTGCTTATTTTAAATTAAAGTTTTGTTGTATAAATAAAACCTATGTAGCAATAGAAGGAATGCAACAAATTGGGGGATCTCTCAGATAGGATGTGATTGGGTTGGAATATTGCTGTGGTGTAGGAAATGACTACATGATTGATTTAGAAAAACATGGAAAGACTTGGACTTATGAAGGAAAATGCCATCCACCTTCAGAGAAACATAATAGGAGGAAATAAGCATAGTATGATATTACATATATGTGTATGAGTGTGTATGTGTATATATGTGTATGTATATAGATATCTATAAAGATATCTATGTATATGTGTACATATATGCTATCTCTCTCTATATAGATATCTATATCTATATATATATATCCATGCTTAATTGTAGTCTTCTTTGGGGGGGGGAAAGGTTAAAAAAAAAAGTAAAAAGTACATAGTAGAGAACAAAAGAAAACTAACAAGAAAGCAAAGAAAAGCTGGGCAGTTTTGAAAACAATGTGTAGTATTTATTATATAGGTTTTCTTGAAAAGGAAATTTATTATTTTATATTAAATTCTCTCTTATGGTCTACTGTATACATGGCAATGTTTTTTTCTTTTCTCATTTTGTATTTGTTTAAAATTTAAAAATTTACAAAAAACTGAAATTTAAAACAAATTTCTTTAAAAACAAAATAAAAAACTATATATACATATATGCGCACATATATAAGAAGATTTCACTATTTCTATTATTCATATTCTATGTCCCCTTGAGCATAGAATCTTAATTTTGGGGTCATTATATGGTGATAACTTTTTAAAAGATGTGTAAAAATATAACTTCTTTTTAATGGAAAGGGAAAAGCTGTCTTTAAAGAAGGGGAAGGGAATAACTGTTTTTTAAATGTCTCCTGCGTGCCAGGCACTGAGTAAGTGCTTTTACAAATACAATTATCCCTTCCACATCGCCACTTTCCCCATCTAGGTTTTGATATATTGTGGGTCAGCATAAGAAATTAAATGGGAATTTTCCGGGAGTTTTGCAGAAGACATGTGAAGGCCAGCAGACAACACAGAGCCTATGACCAATCACTTAACCCAAATTTTACAATAAAGTACTGTAAATACTCTGTAAAGAAAAAGAAAAAATTCAGAATTTTCTGGTGTGAAGAGAAGGCCAAAAACTTTTACGCAGATTTTCCAGATGGGGAAGAGGGAAGGGGGCCTTGCCCCTAACTCCTGAGATGTGGAAGGGATAACTGTATTACCTTACTAGATCCTAGAAGGCCCTTGGTGACTAGTGTTAACTTACTTTTTTTGTTAATTTTTGTCTACAAAGTGAATGTGTTTGAAAGCTAGCCTACCCAAAGATGCAGCTTCATTTTTGTTTCTTCATAAACACATATATTTTACAAGTAAATATTTATACTATATGAATATACTTATATGTACATATATATAAATGTTCATACCTAACATGCTGTTTATTTCATACCTGTTCATAGATTTCTCTAACATGAAAATATTGACTGAGAGAAATGCTGTAGTCCTGCAACACTTTCAGTATAGAAAATGGATAGCCGTTTACTTCACTTATGAGGTCATCATGAAAATTTTTATACCTGTTAAAAACATGTAAATTATTTAGGGAGCATTTATACAGAACTGAAGAGGAAACATTTATACAAAATTGGAGGAGGAAGCTAATACTAACATAACATAAACCCAAGGAAATAACCGTTGTACTTTACTTGGAATGCTTGATGTATATTGAAATCTTTCACACATCTTCCAGGCTTGGGTGATAAGAATGTCTTAATATGCTTAAAATTAATTGATGAGAATGGAGGATGAGTCTCTCATTTCCCCAGAAATCATAGTCAAAGTTCAAGGTTACTTAAGAATTTGCTATAAAACTTGATCAAGTCTCCCAGGAGAGGATTAGGAAGTCAATCAAGTCAATAAACATTGATTAAGCAACTACTGTGTGCCAGGAATTATGCTAAACCATGGGGATTCAAAGAAAGTTAAAAGATAGTCCCTGCTGTCAAGGACCTTCCAGTCTACTGGGGAAGACAACATACAAACATCTATGTATAAATAATATACATTATATATATGTATGTATATAGGAGATATTGGGGATATTCTCAGAGAGAAAGCACTAGAATTAAGGGAGATTGGGAAAGGCTTCCTGTGGAAGGTGATATTTTAACTGAGACTTAGAGAAATTCAGGGAAGCCGATAGGCAAAGAGAAGGAAGAAGAGTGTTGTCCAGGTGTGGGGGACAGCCGGTGAAAATGTTTGGAATAGTGAGCTGGATAACAGCAAGGTGGCCACTGTCACCAGATCCAGAGTATGTGGGTGAGTGTAAGGTATCAGAAAACTGGAGAAGTAAGGAGGGGCTAAGTTATGATGGACTCAATGCCAAACAGAGGACTTTATATTTGATTCTGTAAGTGACATGGTCAGATCTGTGTTTTAGGAAGATCACTTTGACAACTGAGTGGAGGATGACCTTGAGTAGGGAGAGACTTGTGGCAGAGAGACCAGCCAGCAAGCTACAGAAATAGTCTAGGTGTAAGGGGATGAAGGTCTGCATCAACATGATGGAAGTGTCAAGAGAAGAGAGTAGAGTGTATGTAAGAGATATTGCAATGGTAAAATTGACTAGCCTTGGCAACAGATTAGATATGGAAAATGAAAGAGAGTAAGGAGTCATATATGACACTTGTGGTGCCCTCAACAGTATTAGGGAAATTTGGAATGGAGAAAGTATTGGGGAGAAAGACAGTTCAGTTTTGGACATGTTGCATTTAAGATATAATCCAGTTTGAGAAGTCCAACAGGTAATTGGAGATTTGAGACTGGAGATCAACGGAGGTTATAATTTGAGAATCATCAGCATAGAGGTGATAATTAAATCTATGGCAACTAATCTCCAAATGAAATAGTATAGAGGATCTCCAAATGAAATAGTATAGAGGAAGAAGAGAAAGCGACCCAGGACACCTATGGGACACCCACGTATAGTAGGCATATTCCGGTTGAAGATCCAGCAAAGAAAACTGAGGAGTCTTTGAGGAAAGGCTATTAGATTGGGCAATTAGTAAATTTGAAGAGAGCAGTTTAGATTAGATGGTGAGTTTGGTAGCCAAACTAGAGAGCTGGAGGAAAGGAAGTGGAGGTATCTATATCAGATGACCTTCTTGAGGAGTTTAGACAAAAAAGGAAGCAGAAATATGGGAAGTCCTTGGTTAAATTCCCAACTTTGCCACTTCCTACTAATGTCACCTTGGGTGAATTGCTTAACCTCTCTGGTCCTCAGTTTCCTTGTCTATAAAATGACTAGATGGACTAGATGGCTGTCTTCCATATGTAAAAGTAATGATGTTGACTTAAAGTAAAACGGGGGCTTTTTAGTCCATATTTTCCTGTCCAGTCCCACATGTCAATTTTAAGTATTTGCAAACTGATTGGTCAGGGTTAAAAGATGTGTATGGTCTCAAAATAAGTTTCTCTCTGTGTGAAGGCTTTTTTTTTCTTTTTCCTTTCCTTTTCTGCCTTCATGATTTAAAAAAATTTTCCTCCAAATCGTTGCATGGAAGTGCAATATGGTATATAGTTGCTGTAGGATCCCCAGGTGGGTGGGGAGTAGGCACAAGAGATCTCCCTGCAAAGCTAACATTTCCTTGGAGGGACCAAACCTCCCACCTTGGCCTGGTCACCATGTCCTTCCTATAGACTGGGCTCAAATTTTCAACATCCTTCACTTTTTCTGCCACCCCAGGTTTTCTCTTTGCTTGTAGCATACAATGCTTACTTACTTTTTTTTAATGTCAAAAAGCAGAAAGTAAGCCTTGTCCAGGTGATGAATCAAAACATCTTCACTGTTTTGTTGTCTCATCTGATCCAGAACAATATCTAGGCTTGTTTCCTTCAACTAGAAAAACATATTTTTAAAAAATCAGCATACGTCCATTACAATGCAAAGCCCTATCACCTTTGTCAATTCCTTTCCTTCACAGAAAGTTTGAATCAGAGAACCAGACTGCACTTAGCGGGGGCTGGGGGAGGGGAGGGGAGGGAACACACATTCATTTATTCATTCATTCACTTCTAAAAGCATCATTGATGACTTATATTCAAGGCCAGTTATTGTATTTCGAAAGTAATTTCTCAAAGAAATTTGAAATTATTCAAGCAGGCAGTGACACTTTGGACCGAAAACACAGCACAAAGCCAGTTATTTGCTTTTTGCCTCTGATAGACATGAGACCATAGACTTTGAAATAGGGGAGATCTTGGAGGTCATCTTTTTCAACTCCCTCATTTTATATTCTCCAAATTCAGTAATTTTTTCCCACCACAGTCTCTGGACTTTGCCACAATCCTTCAACTTCCTTCTCTTTCCTCCTCTGTGACTCCCTTCTTTCATCAGTGAGCTCTTCCCAGAATCTCCATTTTGAGGAAAGGCCTAAATCAGCCATCCTCTGCAACCTGAACTTTGCCATCCTCTCCCCAGATAGGTACCTCCTCTTCCCTTTTTTAAAGCTCCCTTTTATGTGTTATCTTCCCTATTAGAATGTGATGCTTCTTGAAGGGCAAGGACTGTCCTTCTTTCCACTTGTTCTGAGTCCAGTGTTTCCCACAGTGCTTGGAGCATAGTAAGCCCTTAACAAGTATTTGTTGACTTATAGATTTGACACACATAATAAAGGCAAAGATGTAGGCCACAAAGATGGCAGAGAATATCCTTGCCTTATTCACTTAGTTTTATTCTTGCTTAGATTCATTTGCATGGCAGTCTGGAGAAGATCTTAGGAACAAAATAGGCTTGAAATTCCTTCCACGCGGTTCTTATTGGGTATTTCTGGGAGTGTGCTGGTAAGTGTTTGATAACTGGCTGTCCCCTCAAAAAAATGTAAGCATTGACACACTTTTTAAAAATAGCATTTTATTGGGGCAGCTAGGTGGCGCAGTGGATAGAGCACCAGCCCTGGATTCAGGAGGACCTGAGTTCAAATGTGACCTCAGACACATAACACTTACTAACTGTGTGATCCTGGACAGTCACTTAACCTCTTTGCCTAACCAAAACAAAAAAAAAGCATTTTTTTCCCCAATTACATCAAGACCATTTTTAGCAATCATTTTTACAAAATTTTGAGTTCCAATATTTTCTCCCTCCCTCCCCTCCCTTCCTTCACTTCCCTCTTTCTAAAATAGTAAGCAATTTGATACAGGTTATGCATGTGCTATCATGTAGAACATATTTACATATTAGTCACAGTTGTGAAAGATGAAACAGATAAAAAGGAAAAAACACAAAAAAGAATAGAGTGAAAAGTAGTATACTTGTGTATACATTCAGAGTTCATCAGTTCTTTATCTAGATGTGGATAGCATTTTTCTTCATGAGTCCTTTGTACTTGTCTTGGATCATTGTGTTACTGAGAAGAGCTGAGTCATTCATAGTTGATCATCTCACAGTGTTGCTGATACTGTGTACAGTGTTTTCCTGGTTCTGCTCATTTTACTTTGCATTGATTTGTACAAGTCTTTCTAGGTTTTTCTGAAATGTGCCTGTTCATCATTTTTTAAAATCTCTTTTTTTTTCTTTTTGGCTAGGCAATGAGGTTAAGTGACTTGCCCAGGGTCACACACAGCTAGTAAGGGTCAAGTGTCTGAGGCTGGATTAGAACTCAGGTCCTTCTGACTCCAGGGCTAGTGTTCTATACACCGCACCAATCTATCTGCCCCGTTGATCATTTCTTATTGCACAATGGTATTCCATTATTCATATACCACAGCTTGTTCAGCTATTCCCCAATTGATGGGCATTCCTTCAATTTCCAATATTTCACCACCATGAAAAGGGCTGCTATAAATATTTTTGCACACGGAGGTCCTTTTCCTTCATAACTTAACCGCCTCCTACCTTTCCAGTCTTCTTATACCTTGTTCCCTGACACACACTCTTCAATCCAGTAACATTGGCCTCCTGGCTATTCTACCACAAGACATTCCATCTCTCAACTCTGGGCATTTTCTCTAGCTGTCCCTCAGTCCTGGAATACTCTTCTTCCTCTACTCTGACTATTGACCTCTTTGGCTTCCTTGAAGTCCCATCACCTTCTACAGGAAGCCTTTTCCAATCCCTCTCAATGCCAATACCTTCCCTCTGTTAATTATTTCCTATGCTTCCTGTACGTTGCTTGCTTTGTATATATTGGTTTACACGTTGTCTTCTCCATTAGATTGTAAGCTCCTTGAGGACAGGGACTAACTTTTGCCCCTTTTTATATCCTCAGTGCTTAGCGCAGTGCCTAGCACATAGCAGGAGCTTAATAAATATTAACTGATTGATTGAAAACACTTTGCAAACCTTAAAGAGTTATATAAATGCTAGTTATTATTATTATCATCATCATTAGGGACAGATCTTGAGTCCAAAGCAGGAAGAAGAGAAGCAATAGTTAGGAAAACTGAAGTGTATTTTAAGGGTAACAGCTGCTGAAAGATAAGTTATGAGGAAGCCTTTTCACAAGATCTGGGCCATACATTGGGAGCAGGACTGGTAGTACCAGAGACCTGCAGCTCTGGAGTAATGACAGTCAGCTCAAGGGGAAGGGACTGTTCCAAGGAACCCTTTTATGTCCTAGTTAAATTGCTCCTCTCTTTTTCAGTTAGCCAGGTGTGCCAGCTTATCTGTTCTGAATCTCTTGCTCTTAAATGATCTCATTGACCTACTAAAGAACTTTATTGGCGTACATAAGGATAAGGAAGAGATCCTTCCTAATTCCAGTGAACCAAAAGGTTGGTTAGTGGGCACTGATCTGGGAAACTTGAAGTTCTTAGGACAAAGTAGAAGAGCAGTATCATACCACTTATGCCTGTCAGGTGAATTTGGGATTCAGCTATTCCTAGATGTAAATCACAAGCTGGTGGAGAGTGGCAGGCTCAGCCAGAGGATGCATAGGTAAGCTGGATTTCATTTTTCACAGGGAACGGAATAAGCATTTATGAAGTATCTACTATGTGCCAGGCTTTGTGCTCAATGTTTTACAAATATTATCTCATTTAATCCTCAAAACCTACCTAAGAGGTAGGTTATTATCCCCTGATAATAATAATAACAAAATATAATGAACTGACAGCTGCCTTTTTTGGTAGGCTGAGTTATAAGGGAAAGCCACTTCTTTGAGACAAGAGATCTGCAAGAAAGCTGGGCCTTCAGAGGGAGTTTCTCCGTTTGCTGAATCTCCAAATACGCTGGGTGCTCAGCTTGCCTTGCTTGCTGGTGCCATCTGCTGCCTACATAGAGAACCAGTCTAGATCTGCACCTGCATTGCAATGGACTGAAGGGGCGCAAGCTCACTTAACCAGTATGTGTCAGGGTGAACCTTGAACCCTGTTCCTCCTGATGCAAAAGCTGACTCTCAGTCCACTACTCAGTGCCTCAAACACAAAATATATAACAAAAACAATAATGTTGGCATTTATGTAGTACCTACTATGTGCTAGGCATTTTGATAAGCACCCTTTACAGATATTATATCATTTGAATCTCACTACAATTCCAGAAGGTAGGTACTATTATTATCCCTTTTTTACAGTTGAGGAAACTGAGACAGGAAGAGGATAAGTGACTTGTCCAAAGTCCCACATCTAGTAAGTGTCTAAGGCTGGATTTGAACTCAGGTCATCCTGACTCCAGGTCCAGGCTCTATCCACTGCCAAAATTAACAAGGTAATTCCAGGGAAGAGATCAGGAAAAGCCTTATGCCAAAGGTCTAAGCCATACCATTTGCCTAAGGGAAAGAAACATCTACACTGAAGAACTTCTGGATTTTTTAAAAATAAGTTTTTAGTGTAAACTTGATGAAAACTTCACCCTATTTGAAACAATGAATAAACAAAAAAAAACTATACATAAGTAGAACTATTTCTCTTTTAAAATAAAACTTTTAATGAAATTATAGTAACTTATTTACCCAATCTGTTTTTGTCTTTTACAGCTGCGTTCTTATGAAGTTTTGCTACTATTTTTTGTAAAGTTGTGGCTAATGTGTATGTGTATGTGTGTGTGTGGGGGGGTTGTTCTGATCCTCCCTTCCTCATTTTCTTTCAGTTTACATAAATATTCCCATATTCTTCATGCTCCTCATATTTATCATTATTAATGATTATTATTTAGAGTGACACCTTCAAAGGCACAATAGTAAAGGTGCCAGAGTATGAGGACCTTTCTGTTTCAGAGACGGGAAAGCTTAGGCTTGGACAGGATAGATGACTTGCCCACTTTATTCAAATGGCCCCCACAAATGAGTAAGTGTCAGAGCTGGGATTCAAACTCAGGCCATCTTGATACCAACTCCAGTGTTCTTTGGTGCTGCGCTGGACCGATATGGCCATCCAGCTGTAGGGGAGTTAGAGAGGTAGAATTTATCACTATATTTCTACAAAAGCACTTCCCAGAGGACAGGGCCCAAATAGGCTTATTCTCTTTGTTTTGTGTTGTTTTGTTTTGTTTTGTTTTGATTTTTGCTTTTTGGTGAAGCAATCAGGGTTAAGTGACTTGCCCAGGGTCACACAGCTAGTAAGTGTAAAGTGTCTAGGGTCAGATTTGAAGTTGGGTCCTCCTGGCTCCAAGACCGGAGCTCTATCCACTGTGCCAACTAGCTGCCCCCCAAATAGGCTTATTCTAATACTTCTTGGAATTAGAATACTGGGGTTCTACTCTTGCTTCTGTTGCTAATTAGCTTAAATGACTTCCAGAAAGTCAAATTATCTCTCTGGGACATAATTCCTATATCAGTAAAATGGGGGAGTTGTATTAGCTGATCCCTGAGGGTTTTTAGGCTGCAGTAACATGCTATTGTTAAAAGCTTACTGGATTGAGATTCAGAAGGACTGAATTCAAGTCAGCAACTTAATAATTCTCCCAGTTACTACTAGCTATGCAAATTTAGGTACATCACTTAATTTCTTTTGAGACTGAAACATCTCATCTGTAAAATGGACTATCTAATCCACCAATCCACCTAGACCCATCTATACCTGATGCAGAATTCCCTCTCCAATGGTCCCAACAAGGGGTCAACTAACCCTTACTTAAAGATCTCCAATGAGGAGAACACCCTCCTGCTCAAGGCAGCCCGTTTCCCTCCTAAAAACTTTTGAAGGAAGTGAGTGTAGAACAATGAAAAGTGGCTCTGGAATTTGAGAACCTGGGTTCAAATCTTGCTTCTGCTTACTAAGTATGAGATACCAGGCAAGTCATTTAATCTTTTGGGTCCTCAGTCTGCACATCTATAATTGAGGGGGTTGGAGTAGATGACCTCTGGGATCTCTTCTAGCCCTCGGTCTATGAAACAGCGATGCAAGGAAGATACCTCTTGGTCACTTCCAATCGCCGTTTCTAGCTCTCTCTGCTCTCTGGAGCCAAAGATAACAAGTCTAAGCTCTCTTACACATGACGGCTCTCCATGTCTTTGAAGACAGCCATCATCTATCGCGTCTCAGAGATCTTTTGTTTTCCAGGTTCAACAACCTACTTCATCCTCAGACATGAAAACCATGCCCTGCCAACCTTACAGGATTAGTGTGAGGATAAAATTTTTGGTTCACTTAGCGGGTTTCTCTGTATATATATATAAAAAAAAGTATTCCATTAGGTTTCATGAGACTATCACTGAAACCCATCTAATTTCTTTTCCCCTATTAATCAAACAAACTACTATTCATAACTTGTTTTTCTAGCTACTTTTCTCTGCTAGGTAGATAGAGAAGGGAAGGGCCAGGTAACAGGATCAGAGGACCGTAGACCTAGGGCTTAGAGGCACCTTAAAGGTCATCTGACCCCACTCCATTTTACCAGTAAGCAAATAGAGGCCCAGAGAGATTAAGTACTTTGCCCATGGTGGTATGTGGTAGAGCCATTCTGACTTCAGATATAGCCTACACTATGCTGGGCTTCACATTTATTTCTCGTTGTATATTCACGACATAACAATGGCACTAAGGAGGCATGGAGAATAGGGCACTGGACCTGAAGTTGGGAAAATATGAGTTCCTATCTGGTCTGAGACACTTACTAGTGAGTGACCCTGTGCAAGTCACTTAATCTCTGCCTGCCTCAGTTTCCACAACTGTAAAATGGAGATAATAATAGTACCTAACTCATTGAGTTATTGTGAGGATCAAATGAGGCAATACTTTTAAAGTGCCCAGCACATAGTAGGTGTTTAATAAATGTTTGTTCCCTTCTCCTTTCCATTTCAACTCATGGTGTTATCCCTACTTTGAACTACTGGAGCACTTACTGTTGGTGTCACTCTTCTGTTGCTTTGTGTTGTTTAATTATTTCCCTTGTGTATTTCTCTTCTCCTTAAATAAGAGCATAAACTTTTGGAGGGCAAGTTTAGGGTCTAGAACTTCTTTGTCATTGCTCATAGTGCCTTAAGCAAAGTGATTGGTGTATATTAAAATATTTGCATTTTGAAATTAAATCAGTCTCATGGAATCTCATGGAATCCTAGGTACTGTGGCTTGATTACCCCAAATTTAACTCTGGTCAAGATTCTGGAATTTAAGGGTTGAGAGAGCAGACTGTTGAGATCAATACAATTCTTTCAGCCAATCACCCAGGTTCAAAATCTGAGTCACTCTTCCCTTTCCTTCATTATCCAATCCATTGCCGTACCTACAGATTCTATCTTTGTTCTTATTGAATTGCATTAAACTGAATTGGATTGAATCGAATCATAAGTTTAAACCAGGTGTCACATGTTACCAATAATAACTTGGGCATGGAAAGTGCCTTTGAAAACATCATCAAGGACATATATGACCTGAAAAAGGGGTGGGCTGGACATGAAATAACTGGGGTTAGGGATAACTGACACAAGACCTTCAAGCCACTGAGCAAATCCCTTCTGGAGAATGTGTGGCAAGGCAAGGACAAAAATTATAATTTAAGATATGGGGGCAGTTAGGTGGCCCAGTGAATACAGCTCTGGCCTTGGAGTCAGGAGGACCTGAGTTCAAATTTAGCCTCAGACACTTGACTCTTTCTAGCTGTGTGACCCTGGGCAAGTCACTTAACCCTGACTGTCTCATCAAAAAAAAGAAAAAAAAATTATACAATTACACAAGATGAAAAGACAAAGATGGGCTGAAATTTACACTTGTTGGGATTCACTGATAGACTAAAGTTGCTTTTGTGTTCCTGGTCATGTGCCACTAGAGGTAGCTTAATTTTTAAACTGACTTTTTTTTTTCTTTCCCCAGTATGTACTAGAAAAAAAATTTTTTATGTTTGATTTTCCTCTGGAGTGGAAATCTAGCATTATATTAGCTGAATAATAAATGATAATGGTAACTGATACAGTTTCACTTCAGGGGTGCTCATAAATACTGGCCTCTATCCTCTTTTTATGTATATAGGAGGGTAGAATGTGAATTAGTACAAATAATGAATTTCTCCTAATGTAATAACATTTAAATTTGCACTACACATTTCCAATAGACTGGGACCAGTTACTATACTTTACACAATTCTAACTTCCAGTGAATATACACTTCCAACAGAAAGGGTGCCATCGGTCTGTGTGAATGGTTCGACTAAATTTGTCCTCGGTTGTCCTTGCACTTTAATCCTTAAAGGACTTAAGCACTTATTACCTGCAGTCACTGGATATACAAAGATAAAGTGACAGTCCACATTCTGAAGGAACTTGTATTCTAGCTGAGGAGACAATATGCATCTCTATAGATAAGTATAAAATACATACAAGGTAACTTTGGAGGCAAAGGCACTAATAGCTGGGAGGGTGGGGAGTGGCAGGAAAGCCTCCTATAGAAGGTGCTGGATTCTAAGGGGAAGGGGTGTGGAGGGAGAACATGCCAGGTATGAGCACAGCCAGTGTGAAGGAATGGACACAAGAGGATGGAGTCTTGTGTATGAGGAGCCAGGGCTAGATGACGATTTGTCTAGTTGAAATAGTGGGGATTCCTTTTGCATATGGGTTGGACACTGCAATCATTCAAGAGTGATAGAGTTACGGAAGCATTTTCCAAGAAGGGCACATCCAGCAGTTGCAGAAAAAATGAGAGCTAGATAAATCCCTCAAAAGGAGACGTTAGGATGAGGACAAAGCTGTGCGTTGGGACCCAGTAGAGTGTCAGGGAAGTCAACTGAGTTTGTCCTAGACTGAGAGAGAGTTCTGCCTAGACACCAGGTTCAACCCAGAAACTACCACTTTGCTTCCTATTCAGCTTTGGAAGCACCTAAGGAACATAGATCATCCATAGAGCCTTCAGGTGCTACTGGTCAACCTGAGGCAGATGGACAAAACAGTTATCAGGCACTTACGATGTGCCATGAACTGTGCTAAGGAGAATAAATTCAGACCAGTAGCTCTGATGACACCAGGGGTAGAGAGCAGATAAGAGGTCATGGTAAAAGGGTCAGTGCTATTTGGCCAGTGACCAAATTAGCTTATGATGCTTAAAATGTAATGAATAAGGTGAGTTCCCATGGAACAAGACAACCTATGATGTTATGTGTGGTATGAGACCCCCGTGTTTGCTCTATAGAAGGCTTCATGCTGGATTCCACTCTTTGGCGGGCTATAGCACATTTACTATGTTCCCGCATGTGACCTATTATTTGGGTACTATGTGCAACCTTGTTACATGATGCTGTGTGTTACACGTTACAAAGGAATGAATAAATTACAAGCATTTATTGAGTACTTATTATGTGCCAAGCACTGTGCTCTGGAGATACAAATGCAAAAGTGAGACAAGTTTCTATTCTCAACAAGTTTAACTTGTGACTGGGAAGACAATAGAGGAATGGTGGCTAAGGAAGGGAGTTTTGGTCTGGGAAATTTTCACAAAGATGATGAGTGTAATAACAAGGCAGTCCATTGGCACACTCAATCCAGAAGCAATAGTATAAGGATGTGATTACTATTCTCAGAGAAAGAAAGGGGTAGAGGAGGTAGGACAGATACCTACCAAGGTCCCTACTACATGAGCTATGCCGTTTTTTTTCCCTAGGATAATTGTCCTCATGAACTAGTTGGTCCAGGAGACTAAGGCTTGAACTGTTGATATAGCTTCCTAGTTGCCTAAGTACAGAAACTCCTCAGGCTTCACACATGCTGCTTCCTTGGAGGACCATCAGAGCAAATGCCCAAGGCAGAGGAACTAGGTCCAACTGAATCAATGCTGTATCCTTGCTGAATATTCTTTCCATGCTGTTGTTAAATCAACATCCTTTCACTAAATATTAGATGATCTACAAACATCTCATTTGATTCCAATCCCAAGCCTGCACACTGGACTGAAAACCAGAAAAGGAGGTGGGTTGGTCGTGCAGAGATAACAGAAAGACCTGCAGCATGTTAGGTGGCTCTTCTGTGGGACATGTGTGGAAAGAGAGAGTGCAGAACAGCAGAAGATAAAAGCATGGATGGGTTGTGACCTGCACTCACTAGTGAGGCCATGAATCCATCAAAGTGAATTGTCCTTACCCTGCCCACCTCATGGGGTTGTTTTGAGGCAAGTTTGGTAAACCACAATGAGCTCTATGTATGTAAGATAATGTTTTTGTTTTACCTCAGTCTCATAATTGTGTTTATAGCGATACTGCTCTAGTCTCTTCTCAAGATTGATTTCTTCCTGGGTCAGGTGGTTCTGATGGACCTCCCAGAGGTGAAGAGTTGTCTGTAAATACGTGAATAGATCTTGGATCTGTACTTCTGCCTGTCTAGCTGCCTCCTCGAGAGCTTTCTAGAGGAACAAAATAAGAGAATCTGTTATTTGATTGCTTATCAAGAGGAAAGATGGAGAGGAAAAGGGATCTTCTAACCATTTCTTTAATCCTTGACTCTTCCAGCCAAAACAGCATCTGTTCCAAGAACAATAATAATAGATAGGCAGTAATAACAGCTAGCATTAATAGAGAGCTTTAAGGTTTGCCAGGTGTTTTATAAATATTAACTCATATTATTCTCTCAACCACCCACGGGGGTAGGCACTATAATTACTCCCATTTTACAGATGAGGAAAATGAAGCCAACAGAGGATAAGTGACTTGCCCAGGGTCATACATCTAGGAGGTATCTGAAGCTGGATTTGAACTCAGATCTTTCTGTCTCCAGGGCCAGGGCTCTAACTGCTGTGCCACCTAGCTGACCTAGCCATCCAACATTATACAAGTATCCACAAAATATTAAAGCAGGTGGGCAAGAATAGGCAATGTGGCCTGACCCCTCCTACAACCATGTGTTTGGGCTTTTAAGGACTTGGTCAGTGGGCTTACACATCTACTTGTGCTAGTGTATGTAAATCGAATGCTAGCCTAGAAGACTTAGAACAGTCTTGTTTTGTTTTGTTTGTTTGTTTTGCTTTTTTTTGGTGAGGCAATTGGGGTTAAGTGACATGCCCAGGGTCACACAGCTAGTTAAGTGTCAAGTGTCTGAGGTAGCATTTGAACTCAGGTCCTCCTGACTCCAAGGCTGGAGCTCTATGCACTGCGCCAACTAGCTGCCGCTTTTTTGTTTTGTTTTGTTTTGTTTTGCTGGGAACAGTCTTACAACAAGAAAACAAGGGTCAACAGAAACAAATTAGATTTACCAGTAGAAGTCTTAACTGTGTAATTCATTGACCCAGATACACTAACCGGAGCACTTGGCTCTGAAGGATGCTGTCCCTGACAAGCTCTGAGGAAAGGCCTCTCAAACATTGGATGCATCTTCTTACGACTTAACAATAACAATGCCACCTTATTTAATAGGTGAGAAAACTGTGGTCCAGAGAGGTTTAGCCAAAGTCACATAATGAATTTCAGATGACATTTGACATGTGAACTCAATTCCTTTGACTTCAGATCTAGCACTTTCCATAGTATTTAGCCCTGGGCTGGCAAGTGTCCAATAAACATTTGCTGTAAATTAATGAATATGCTTATAAGACCCCCATTTCAGTTCTAGGAAGTAATATTTCCAGAACTGTAACCAAGGTAAAATACCAAGGCCCAGATTTACTGAATGACAGGAAATTTACCCCAAAGTGAGGGAACTTAATGGCCACTGATTTGTACTCTTTAAAGAATGTTCCTTCAGGGCCCACCTCATAGTATGCTACCTGGGGTAAAGGGTCATAACACAAGTACCAAAGAGCTCAAGAACCATAGGGACTGCAGAGAAGCACCCCATCTTCCTCCTTCCCTTCCCACAACTGGGTCACAAAGAAGGTATCACTCTAAACCTCACTATTCTTTTGGGTTTGGTGGTTTTCATTCTGCATTTTTGTACTGTGTTTTCACTATCACAGGCTGGGCAGTACATAAAGTAAGCTAGTCCTTATTTTCCTTGAGGGCAGAATGGGCGTGGGGGGTGAGGGGCTCTTCAATTATTTTAATTATACTCTATTAATTACACAGTTCCTTACACACAGCATATACTCAATAATATTGAAGCTAACCCTACAGAAACATCCAATGCTATTTTTGTTTTGTTTTTTGTTTTTGCTAGGCAATCAGAGTTAAGTGACTTGCCCAATGTCACACAGCTAGTAAGTATCAAGTGTCTGAGGCCAGATTTGAACTCAGGTCCTCCTGACTCCAGGGCTGGAGCTCTATCTACTATGCCACCTAGCTGCCCCCAATGCTATTTTTAAACTGCCTTTTCCTCCACCTCTAGGCCAGGTAAATAAAATGAAGAGACAGCACACTGGGTGATTCCAACTATTTGACTTTCTTGCAATTGGTTGTTCAACAAATTAATTAGCTGCCTCGAGGGAGGTAGTGAACTCCTGTCACTGGAAAGCCACGCCTCAGCTGGATGACCACATCAGGAAAACTCCCGAGAATTCCCTATGTGGAGTGGAAGGTAGGACTGAACTTCCTCTAAGCTTCTGTCTAACATGGAGATTCCAAGGGGCCAGGAACATTCTTTATTACTCACCCCTTAGAGACAGAGCATGAACAAGTAGCTTTCTACCCAGTTATTACAGATCAAGTTCAGGGAATAATAGGAGATATAAGCTTTTCCCATAGAACTTAAAACACATGTGTGTAAAGACTACGCAGCAGGTGAATGAACTGTCTAGAGATTTATTTTGAGTTTCATAACTCGTGTACAGGTAAATGCTATCTCTCAGTTTTTTCCCATCATAGGTGATTATCTTCCAAAGGCCGTAAGCCCAGCTCACGTGACCTATGTCTTCCATGAAGCCATCCCCTATTCCCCATCGGTAATGACCTTCCACTCTGAAACTCACATAGCCAGCTTTGTACTTTTCTGTCATACTTGTCATGTAACAAATGGTGCTTATAGTTATCTGTGTTTATATCTCATTTCCATATGATTCTGTGGAGGGCAGGGACCATGTCTTATATTAACACTGAATCTCACTCAGCACGACAGCCTGCACATAGTAGGTGCTTAAGATACAACCAATTACATGAGGCTCTTTGTGTTCTTCCAGATGCTAGTCACTCCCCCACACCCCTAAAATACCGTGTATTTATTGAGGCTAAGAGTGGAAAAAATGCTAATCAGAGGATTAGATTGATAGTCCCATCAGATCACGAGCTCTTTGAGGTTAGGGACTGTCTTTTGCCTCTTTTTGTATCCCCAGCACAGTGTAGCACAGTGCCTGGCACATAGCAAGCCCTTAATAAATGTTTGTTGACAGACTAACTGAAATGACCACTATGCCACTTACCACCCGTGGACCTCAGGCAAGTCACTTAACCTCTGTGGCCCTCAGTTTCCTCATCTACAAATAAAGCACTGGACTAGATGGTCTCCGAAGTCACTTCCAGCTCTAAATCTATGATATTATAACCCAATTTTGTATATTCTTACATGAGCATATGGAAAGCAATGTGTTGTAATGGGTAGAGCCTACTGGCCTAGAAGTCACTCGTAGTTGGGTTCAAATCCTACCTCTGACACGTATGACTGTGTGACACAGGTAGATTGCAGACAGACTATGGAGGACCTTCAATGTCAGGCTAAAGAATTTAAATGTGATTTCGTAAGTAATGAGGCAGCACTGAAGACTCTAGTAATTCATTTTAGCTGAATAACAACAAACAAAAGGAAATTCAAGTTTAAGCTTTTAAGGAAATCAAGTTTCAGGAAGAGCAAGCTGTGCAACCAGCTGACTCAAATTCTCCAAAAGTCAAAAATTACGTCCGATCCAATTAATAGAATAATAATAACAATAACCCTAACCCTAAATGTAATTTTCTGTGGTACTTTAAGGTTTGCAAAGCACTTTGTAAAACTTACTTTATTTAGTCCTCACTCAATAAAATGGCATGGGGTTGAAGGGAAGGAAGGGAATTCTAGGCCAGGATGATCACTTGGAAAGCTGGCTCATGCTACTTATTTTAAAGAACAGTCATGAGCACTATCTCCTTAGTAACTGGCACACGTCATGTAGTGTTCTTGAATTGTCATTTTTATTATATTAGCTAAGCCTACCCATGAGCAACTGATGTTTTTCCAGTTATTTAGATCTGACTTTATTTGTGTGAAAAGCATTTTGTAATTGTGTTCATATAGTTCCTGGGTTTGTTTTGGCAGGTACACTCCCAAACATTTTATGTCTATGGTAACTTTAAATGGAAGTTTTCTTTCTATCTCTTACTTGTTGGGCTTTGTTAGTAATATGTAGAAATGCTGATGATTTTTGTGGGTTTATTTTATAGCCTGCAACTTTGCTAAAGTTGTTTACTATTTCAAGTAGTTTTTTACTTGATTCTTTAGGATTCTCTAAGTATATCATCATATCATCTGCAAAGAGTGATAGCTTTGTTTCTTCTTTGCCTATTCTAATTCCTTCAATTTCTTTTTCTTCTCTTATTGCTAAAGCTAAGTTTCTAAGTACCATATTGAACAACAGTGGGGAAAATGGACATCCTTGTTTCACCCCTGATCTTACTGGAAATGCTTCTAGCTTATCCCCATTACCCCCCCCCCCCCATATGATGCTTACCCCATTATCCCCATATGATGCTTGCTAATGATTTTAGGTAGAGGCTACTTATCATTTTAAGGAAGACTCCATTTATTCCTATGCTCTCTAGTGTTTTTAATAGGAATGGGTGTTGTATTTTGTCAAAAGTTTTTTCTGCATCTATTGAGATAATCATGGTTTCTGTTAGTTTTGTTGTTGATACGGTCAATTATGCTGATAGCTTTCCTAATACTGAAGCAGCCTTGCATTCCTGGTATAAATCCTACCTGGTGATAGTGTAGTATTCTTGTAATAAGTTGCTATAATCTCTTTGCTAATATTTTATTTAAATTTTTGCATCTATATTTATTAGGGAAATTGGTCTATAATTTTCTTTCTCTGTTTTGGCTCTTCCCGGTTTAGGTATCAGTACCATATTTTTATCATACAAAGAATTTTGTAGAACTCCTTCTTCACCTATTTTCCCAAATAGTCTATATAGTATAAGAATTAATTGTTCTTTAAATGTTTGATAGAATTCACTTGTAAATCCATCTGGCCCTGGAGATTTTTCCCTAGGGAGTTCACTGATGGCTTGTTCAATTTCTTTTTCCGAAATGGGGTTATTTAAGTATTTTATTTCCTCTTGTATTAATCTGAGCAATCTACATTTTTGTAAATATTTATCCATTTCACTAAGATTGTCAACTTTATTGGCATACAGTTGGGCAAAATATCTCCTAAATATTGTTTTAATTTCCTCTTCACTGGTGGTGAATTTATTCTTTTCATTTTTGATACTGGTAATTTGGCTTTCTTCTTTCTTTTTTTTAAATCAAATTAACCAAAGGTTTATCTATTTTATTGTTTTTTTTTTCATAAAACCAGCTCTTAGTTGTACTTATTAGTTCAACACTTTTCTTAATTTCAATCTTATTAATCTCTCCTTTGATTTTCAGTATTTCTAATTTGGTGTTTAATTGAAGATTTTTAATTTGTTCTTTTTCTAGCTTTTTTAGTTGCATGCCCAATTCACTGACCTCCCCTCTCTCTATTTTATTCATGTAAGCATTCAGAGATATAAAACTTCCCCTAAGAACTGCTTTTGCCGCCTCCCATTAGTTTTGGTATGTTGTCTCATTGTTGTCATTCTCTTGGACAAAGTTATTGTTTCTATGACTTCTTGTTTGACCCACTTATTCTTTAGGATTAGATTATTTAGTTTCCAATTATTTTTTAGTCTATCTTTCCATGGCCCTTTATTACATGTAATTGTTATTGCATCATTATCTGAAAAGGATGCATTTAATATCTCTGCCTTTCTGCCTTGGATTGTGAGGTTTTTACACCCTAGTACACGGTCAGTTTTTGTGTAGGTGCATGTATTATTCTTGTCAAAAGAGAATTGAGAGTTGACTTCTCCTTGGATGTGGAAAAGAACCCTTCACAGACTTACACTCATCATTTCCAGTTCACTTTCCACTTGACTCTGGAGGTTTCCTATTATCTGGAAGAAGGAGTGACTTATGGAATATTCTATTTCTTCCAATGGGAAAACTTTCCAGTCCAGTAGTTGTTTCTAAAGAAAAAGACCAAGGTCAAGTTCATGACATTGTAAGCATAATAAATCTTTGAGAGGGCAGAATACTTTAGAAATACTTAAAATACCAACTATCTCTTCCTAAGAAATCCTAGAAGGAAAAGTACAGCAGGGCAGCTAGGTGGCACAATGGATAGAGTACTGGCCTTGGATTCAGGAGGACCTGAGTTCAAATGTGACTGAGACACATAACACTTACTAGCTGGGTGACCCTGGGCAAGTCACTTAACCCCATTGCCTAACCAAAAAAAAAAGTATATGGATAAAAGGGAAATGTGTCAACTGCCCTTTGGATAATATACAAAAGTTATAAGAAACACTTTATCCTCTTTTCTCTCCTTCACGTGGTTTCTGGGATTACTGTTCATACACACCCATGTATACGTTGTACATACGTTCAGAAGTGTGCTGGTGTCAGCTTGAATAGACTCCTGACAGTCAATTAGTAACTTGTGAGTGGGAGCACTTACACTTTGGAAAATGACAGATGCTACAAATCAGGGCTTGTTTTATTGTTTTGTTGATCATCTAGACTTGAGAAAGTATTAGGGAAAATGTTAATGCAGATTAAACGTAAAAGTGTGCTGTGCATATTTTTTTTTCCTGGAGAGCCAGTTATTAAACACTTACTAGCACACTACTACATGTAACTAAATTGGTGCATATTTATAGATCAAGATTAAGGCTCAGACCTGTGATTTCATTAGTGCTGGGGTGAGGAAACTCCCTTTATTAATGTTTGTTTATAATTTATAGTCTTAGATTACGTAGACCACTGAGAAGTGACTTGCTCAGGGTCAAATGCAAAGACTCCAATGCAGGTCTTCCTAATTTCAATACCATCTCTCAATACACCATCCATATTTGTGTGTGTGTGTGTGTGTGTGTGTGTGTGTATGCATGTAGGTATGTATGTATGTATATATACTAATATATACTATATATGTATAGTTCCTTTATGTTTTGCAAAAAAAAAATTTGTTTTTCAGATTACCAAAAAAGGACACTTTTTAACTTTTCAAGTTGCCCCTGGGTTCCAGCTAGTTGCAATCATTCTGAAGGTATTTAGCTTTTTTTAGTTCAGATTTGAGGATGTAATCACCCTTCAGTGAATGTTTTATTTTACCAGGTGTATGTTGCATTACCCTTCTGAGTTGTTTTATCTTAATTTGATCATATTTTATCTTTCTGTACTTGCATTAATGTTGGCAAATGTCACAACACCCTAAGAATACTGCCCCTCTAAGAACTCTCCAAGTTGAGGAAGGCTCTCTGGAGTCACTACCTTGCACTGTTCCACAAAGTCCATACACTCCTGCCAATTTTCTTCATTCCGAAGGCGAATCTTCTTCATGCTCTCCCCAATGCAGTAATCTTCATAAACAAAAGGGATAAAGATCCAAGTCAGTTTGACAGCCAGAAGGGCAAGCATTTCTGCCACTCAGAAAACTCACTTGCTGCCATTCTCAGTTACTGTGACCGTCATTCCGGAAAGACAAACTGAGTAAGCTGACAATTCTAAGTATACCATAGAGCTAGAAGGGTTCTCTAATGAACATGTCCATTCTTTTGTCTTTCAAGTGGATTAGGTTTGCATTGTCTCCAGTACAAGTGTATGCTACATCGGAATGCCTTGACCAAGACTGTTTTATCCCCAATGTCACTAATATTTAATACTTTACAACTAAGCCCTGCTTAGTTTTGTGAGACTCCAGCTGCAATGTCATTTAGCCAAATACCTATTTATAAAAACTTGTTTAATGGAACTGAGCAAAGCAAAGAAAGTGTGTGGGAGACAAAGCTGGAAATAGAGGGAGGGTCTCAATTGTGGAGGATGCTGAACACTAGGCTAAGGAGTTTAGAAAGTATTTGGTAGGCAAAAGGGAACTGAGTATGTGGAATATGGGGGGGTATGGGAAGAGAAGGAAAAGGAGGAAAGTGAGAACATGATCAGACCTGCCCACATTTTACTCTGGTAGAGATGGCAAGATGGCACTAGAACAGTTAGAAGATCTGTGTTTGAGATCCAGCTCTGCCTCTTCCCAGCTAGATGAACTCAAGCATACCACTTCATGTCTCTGGGGGTCAGCTTCATGTTACGTCAAATGAAGGGTGTGGTCTCAATGACCTCTACACTCCCTTACTGTTCTAATAGTCTAAGACAAAAGTCAGGGATTCTTTTTAGGAAACCACTGCTATTGTCCAGGTAAAAGGTGATGGGGGTGGGGTGTCAAGATGAGGGTGGCAGCAGCAGGGATGGAAAGAGGAGGGAAAGATGTGAGAGATATTACTTTAAGAATAATTCAGTCTGTGAAGTGAGCAGAACCAGCAGCACAATGTCCACAGTAACAGCAACATTGTGCGATGATTGACTTTGTTAGACTTAGCTCTTCTGAGCAATGCAAGGACCTAGGACAATTCCAAAAGATTCATGATGCTATCTACATCCAGAGAAATAACTATGGAGTCTGGATACAGATCGACGTATATGATTTTCTCTCTTTTTTTTTTCTTTCTCATGGTTTTTCCCTTTTGTTCTGATTTTTCTTTCACAACATGACTGATGTGGAAATATGTTCAATATGATTGTACATGTATAAATTATATCAGGTTGCATGCCCTCTTGGGGAGGGGGAAGGGAAGGGAAAGAAAAAAATTTGGACCTCAAAATCTTATAAAAGTGAATGTTGAAAACTATCTTCACATGTAATTAGAAAAAAAAATACTATTAAGTGGGGGAAAAAAGAATAATTCATCCTTCAAGTATCAGTGATTGTGTCATTATGAGCAATCCCTCCATGGATTCAGGTTATAAACCTTCCGTGCCTTAGGAGACGTTTTCCCTGAGTTTCTGTGTCCAAACAAATTCATCACCCCATGGGCCACTTGAGAATGAGATGCTCCAAAAATGACTAGGTTTCAGAAAACAGCCACATGCAGTTTTCCTATAAGTAAATCAGGCCTTTCCTTGAAGTTTAACCCTTACAGAGGTTATTCCGCCTTAAAGAACCTGAGGTCACTTACATGCTATGATGTGGCATCAGGGGACTTCTTTAGCAGAAGGTTAGAGATATTATACATTTGAAATTGACAAATTTAATTCATATAGAGTGTGCTCAATAAATAATTCTTGGAAGAATAAAAAGAATGAATTAGCTGATCATTAATATGGAATACAATTAGGGGTGTGCTGATGCCAGCCTAAATATTCAGTGTGAGCATTCATGTCTCTGAATTCAGCAAATGCAACAAACAGGGGCATGATTTATTGATTGTCTAGACTTAAGAAAATGATGGAGAACCTGTTAATAAGGCAGATCAAACCTACCTCCCCCCCTTCCCCCGGAAAGCTGGTTGTTAAGCACTTACCAGTATACTTCTAAATGTAACTCAAGTTTTATCCCAGTGGACCTTGGACAAGTTACAGAATTAGTTTAAAGCAAAACAGAGACCTTTGCCAATTATATTTTATTTACTTCATCAAAGGCTGGTAGGGAAGAATTTAACAACTATTCATCTAAATTAGCTCAATTTCTCTCCCAGGTTCTAAAACCTGAAGTCATCTTTCAAGCATTTGCACAAATTGAAGCTACAAAAACCACAAGATCCTATTGGTTTTCCTTAATTTGATTCAATTCAACAAACATTTATTAAGTGCCTTCTATGTACAAAATTGTCACTGTCCTCAAAGAGCTTATATTCTATATTTCTTATAAATACCTGTCGGTCTCTTCTATCTTCCTTACCCTTGATCTCTATTCCCACTGCCCCTCCTTAGTCCAGGCCCTCAGAGCCTCATGTCCAAAGGACTGTTACCGGTCTTCTACCTGGTCTCCCTGATTCCAGTCTCTCTTTACTAGAAACCATCCTGTACACCAGTGTCTAGTTTATGTTTCTATTACCAAACTTTGACCATGCTTCTGTCAAGTTCCAAAGCCTTTTGCATCCACAGCATAAACTCTGTTCCCTGGTTTTCAAGACTAATATGATCTGGATTCACCTTATCTACCCAGTATTATTTTTTGCTGTCCTTAAATAGGAAACCTCCAGTGCAGCTGGCCAAATCTCCTTCCATGAACTTTCCATAACCATTGATACCACCCTACTCTAGCTTATCTCATTGGTTTTCCTTGGGATGATCCACCAAATCAAATTGTACATATTCAGATCCAGTTTGAGTCTCACCTCACCTTCCTTGATTGTTCTACCCTTCTCTGATCTCTCTGTGTATCTCTCTGTCTCTTTCTAAGTTTTAGTGGTGCCTATTGTTTTTACATCACAGTCCGTTCCAGATAGGAACTGCTCCCTCTCTCCCCACTCCCAAGCTTTTTCTTATAATAGAAAAACAATTAAGCAAAACCAATAGACACATCAATTGTATGGAATGTTCTACACCCATAGTCCTCCACCTATCCAATAAAAGAAAGGAGATGCATTTCCTCATATCTTCTCCAATTTGCCTCTCCCGATCTCCATCTCTTGAAATATTTGTAGCCTATGCCACAGGGAGAGGCACAATGATAGGTAGTTGTGATTAGATAGAATGTAAGCTTCTACTTAGGGTGGTGGGTAATGGTAAGAACTAGTGTGTGACTATCCAATGGGTGAAGTGAAGCAGGAGGTCCTATGATTTAAGAAGACTGCAGAAGCAGAATAGGGAGTTTGAGGGGGCATCAATGTGAACATGTAAAAGTGGAGGAGGAGAGGAAAATGGGAAGCCAGTTCCTGCACTATTTGATAAAGGAGACAGATGATCTAGGGTGGAGGAGGTGGTCAGAATTTTGCAGCCACCATAATTTGGATTGAGTGGAAATTTTTGATTTGAGTAGACTCAAATTTTGATTGCTGAATGATAGAGATAAAGGGAGAGTCTGGAAGTAGCAGAGGTAATCAAGAGTTTTCTGATTTTCCCTTTGGGATCAGTATGTCAGAAGGTAGAGCCAGTGCTGGAGAGAATGACTTGGAATGTAGCATCATCAGGGGAGCCAGGGCTAGTGAGGACTGCTAGATAGGAGTGTTAGACAAAGAAATCCAGTACAGAGGAGAGTTTATTCATTATGGAACAGGAATTCCAAAGAGCATAGTGAAAAGGGTAGTCAGGGAAGATGGCAGAGTAGGTCAGAAAATTTCAAGTTCTCAAGATTTTCCTCCACAAAAGAGATAAAATAGAGCCTCTGGGAGAACACAGAGCAAGAATAGGGGCAGAAGAGGGGTCCTCCTGGGACAACTGGAGAAGATCTGAAGAAAAAATGCTGGACAAGATTTCCTGCTAGTGAAAAGTAAACATGTCCAGGCTAGGTTCTGCTTCAACAACAAGTGGCAAGCCCTGGGTTAGCAAGGTCGGGAGGCTGCCTCAGCCCAGCCACAGGAACTTTCACCCCCAGGACAGTGAGGGGAGTTGGGCATCTGACCTGGGGAAGATCGAAGGAACCTTTGCTGACAAGGAATGCCAGACCCAGCTGTGCTGTGGAGACCTGGTGGGGGTGAGAAGGAACCAGCACACACCAGTGAGTGCAGAAGCAGTGGGGTGGGCACGCCTCTGCTGTGGGCACTTACAGGGGGCTGGAGGTCTCGGTTTGAGTTCAAGGTCAGAATGATGAACTGGAGGCAGCTAGGTGGCGCAGTGGATAGAGCACTGGCCATGGAGTCAGGAGGACCTGAGTTCAAATCTAGCCTCAGACACATGATACTCACTAGCTGTGTGACCCTGGGCAACTCACTTAACCCCATTGCCTAGTCAAAAAACGAAACAAAACAAAACAGAACGATGAATTGAAGAAGATTAGAGGCACCATCCCCCATACCCTAGGACTAGAGGTGATTATAAAAACTAAGTTATTACCCCCAAAAAATGCACAGGCAAGGAGAAAGAATCCAACCATAAAGAACTATTACAGGAATAGAGAAAATCAGGGTTTGTCTTCAGAGGAGGATACTGAAGCAAAGAAATCCTCTTCTACACCAAAGAGTAATGTCAAATGGTCACCTGCCCAAAAAGAACTCAGTGAAGAACTTAAAAAAGACTTTAAAAATCAAATGAGAGAGACTGAAGAAAAACTAAAAAGAAAAATAAGAATAATACAAGAAAAACAAGATTATGAAAAGAAAGTCAACCAATTAGAAAAAGAGATCCAGAATCTTAAGGAAGAAAATGACTTCTTGAAAATAAGAGTTGGTCGGGACAGCTAGGTGGCACAATAGATAGAGCACTGGCCCTGAAGTCAGGAGGACCTGAGTTCAAATCCGACCTCAGACCAAACACTTGACACTTACTAGCTGTGTGACCTTAGGCAAGTCACTTAACTCCAATTCCCTAAAAAAAAAAAAGAAAAGAAAAGAAAAGAAAATGAGAATTGGTCAAGAGGAAGCCAGCG